TGTCATGCAATTACTAATTTTTACAATTAAATTAATAATAACGCGTCAATTTAAACTGAGTTTGATTGAAATGCTCTACACGACTACACAAGCTCTATTTTAGGTGCTTACATAGGAACAATAGGTAATAACATTACGTACATGTGTTTTACGCAAACAGAGTCCATTTACGTTTAAATATGAGACGTAGAAAATTCGCTTGTTTGTGCCAATTCTAAAGGAAATGTGGGCAATTGTATGAAATCCCAATTCAAAGAGGTTGTTTTGTCTTTGTCTTTATTACACAGTTGTTATGGCTTAGGCAGTCGAGTGTTTTCGTACTATTCATGTTATGGAACCGTACCATGGACATAATGTAAACAAGTAACTACTTTACAAATTGAAATACCCTATTTTATTCGGGGTTTGGAACTGCTTTCACAGTAAGATGCATTATGGGCGTGAAAAGCGTATTGAATGTTATTTATTGTGATACATGTGTATGTACGATGTTCAATTATACATACTTACTTATATATTAAAACGCTTAAAATGCATTATTTTGGACCATAACTGGCGTGCCAACTCACGCGGGTTGGTTACGAAGTACCCTTACCAGCTTGGGCTCAATTTTCTTTCAAATAAATTACCCTGATAAGTGGTCTTCTTTTTGACCACAATAATACACAGCTATCATCGAGGTCTATAAAAGCGGGATTCTCCCATAAACCTAAATTGTACGACTGACTGGACTGAAAGAATGGCATACCACTTTTCTTTGACCATAAAGTCGTCTATTTTACAGCAGCAAAACATAATTTACTTGTGATAATATCAGGCCGTAAATACAAAGAAAGTCCGTTCTTTAAGCTCAACATTTTATTACCAGCATGTACAGTCGCCAGTACATCAGACTCTACATTTGTGTTGCAATATCGCACTTATTACCACTGACATAACATACTACAGTATTTAGCTGGATTTGCTGTTATTCTTACATAGGCTTACTCGTTACACACTCGTAATACTTATTATAATCAGTCTAGAGGCTTAATACATTTAGTATAGGTAGGTACTGCTTGAGGGTGCCTCACCTCATGCCCTCAACTTTTGATCGGCTCTACGCAAATCAATGGGACAATTGTGCACTTTTATAAAAATATTGTATACTTAATTTTAAGGTATGAAAGACATTACAATTTCTCTTGAAAAACTTAAAAAGTAGTAGATAAATCATAAACGTTTTCATCGATTATTTTTGTCTTATTAATGAAGCTATTAAAGTACTTCGACCGACTCAAGCTCTATTATGTAACAAGCTTTATACAGCTTTCTGAAACGTGCTACATTCATTTCGCTGGCCTTTTAAATAAAATGAACCAAGCACTGAGATGAACTAAAGGTTAAGTTATTTAACTGAAAGCTAGCAGCTAATTTTGTAACAAGTAAGTTAGGATTAAATTAAAACGGAGCTTTTCTATTTCATTTCAGCGCTGGTAGGGCCCAAAAGATAAGGAGATATGTTAAAGTGCCCCATAAGGGCTGCCTTTCTCTTTTTTAACTGTATTTAATTTTGACGTCCTAGCTTAAGTGCCACCTAGTGCTGGTCAAAATTGAATAAAATATTTTTGATGTTTGATTTGCTTCCAGTAAATTAGAGCATTCTATTATCACTGTTAGGCAATAAAAAATCGTGTAATTACTCTATCGCTCTAAGTAGATAAATAAGCCCTTTAAACTTTTTGACGTAACCTTCGCTTAGTTCCTTTGGTTGACCAACGAAGCGTGTTCGTTCCCACGTGACTGCGCTACCTTTTGTGTCTCTAGGACTATGCCAACATTATCTAAGTATTACAAAAGCGATACAAACGAGTAGGTAGGTACTATTTACGTACTTTGGGTTTTACCGACTCCTTTTGAGCTAACAATAGCTTAGACACTCTAACTACTGACTAAACTCGAAATATTGTGCCAAAAATTCATGAAAATTGTGGCGTCAAATTTTAATAAAAAAATATCCTTGGCATTTTACATGCTTTTACGTGCTATCTAGTCCAAAAATAAATAAAGTTTGTACTAAACTTTCCTACCAGATACGAGTATAATATTTTGTTGTACCTAACCTTTTATACTTAAAAAGCATTAAGAAAATCTTTTGCAGTCGGGACTCTGGTACGTCAACCGCTTTATAATTTTTTATTTATATTAAGGTCCATTAACATAAGGTAAGTGCCCCCTACTTCGGTATATTAAGGCTCTTACGACTTTAACATTTTATTTAAAAATAACCAAGCATGATATCAGTATGAAAGCTTTTGTATGCTAAACTTTGGTCTTTTGACAGTAAGTTAATACATAATTTATAGTTATATAGTTTGAACTTTTTTTTATATTAATTGTTCTGCGGACCTCTTGTTTGGATCCTGTTTCGTGACAAAATTTTGCTCTGTTTCTAAGTTCGTGAACTCATGTCCCCTATTTCGGGATAAGGTTTTATGCATCCAGTTAGGATATTTAAATAATGATTAAGGGTTTAATAAATTGAAAAACGATAATAAAAAATTAGAATAAAATAATTATGTGAAATTGACGATATTACTTACCTGAAATATTCATAAGAAATAATGTGTCTAGTAATATTTTGATTTGTTAATTCTAACAATATGTGAAAATATTTATATAACCATTAGTAATGTATAATATGGGTCTGGGTGTAAATATGTATAATATGTATGTATTTAATAAAAAAAAAAAAAAGTATATAAGTAGTATATCCGTTAAGCTAGCACCCATAACACAAGCATTGAGTTGCTTACTTTGGGGCTAGCTGGCGCTGTGTGAAATTGTCCAAAGATTTATTATTATTATTAATGTAGGGGGGGGGCTTTACCCCCCCCCCCCCCTTCGTACCCATGAAATTTTGATTTGTTATTTCTAGCGATATGTGAAAATATTTATATAGCCATTAGAAATGTGGAGGGGGACTTACCCCCCCCCCCCCTCCCCTTCGTAGCCATAAAATTTTGATTTGTTATTTGTAACACATCCCCCCCCCCTTCTCCCGATAATCCCACCCCTGGAGCTGTTTCAAGTGAGGGTAGCCCCCCCCCTGAAAATAACCCCAGATACGCCAATGACTCATAATAAAAAGTAAGTAATTAATTAATTTCTTAGGTAGGTAAGTATTAAAAACTAAAAAATATGTCGATTTCTTTGATGGTGTGTGTCATAAAAGTACCTAACACCATACATTTATATATCACGAACTTGGAAAAAAGTAACAATAATACGGTTCCTTGTTTCGTGATACTGATTATTCCAAATTCCCCAAGTAAAATTCATGGATTATTGTCAAAATGTGTCAATTAACTATTATCTATCCCATATACAATACAAATAAACAAAGATAAATAAAACAAATCGAAATAAAACCAAAATTATGCTGGTACTACTTATGCTAATTTATCTTAAAATTGGTCATATATGTGAACTTCAAACTCGTGTCATATAAATTCTAGTGAACGAAACATATACCGAATTTAGGTCATGAGAAACTTAAATAAATGCATAATTTGTTTCATAACTTACATTTAAATTATCATAAATAATTATTTAAAAACCAAACATCAAAATGTTATCCATAATATCCTTGAATCGGTAGTGTCACGAAATAGGGGACACCCGAAAAATTATATGTACGCTATTTCGTGAGTCAGTTAATCGCAATTTTAAAGGAATTCTACGTTTTCATATAACTTTTTTCTAAGCCAAATCAATTGTCAAGGAACACATGAAACCACTATTACAAGTGTTATTTAAATGGACGTTCCTTCGCCTTTTTATAAGCTTAAGAAGTTGGAGCGCTAACCTTACGGTGAGAACCAACTTTGCAAGCCGCACGGCTGTTTTTGGCTCTCTGAGAGTTTGAAGCTTCGTATTGCTCTCATTTTTGGCGCCACAATGTTGGTACTTGGTTTTTTAGATAGCTTAAATAATAGAGTTTTTATAGTAATGAAGAATTTTTATAAATAATATTCCATTTGCTTATTATTTGAGCTAGAAAAAAAACTTACGAACTTACGTACTATCACGAACTAGTAGCCGTTTACCTTAATTGCGAGTAGAAAACTCCTTATAACTTGGTAGAGTTAAGAAATGCACGGAAAACTATCATTAAACTTAAGTTACTAACTACTAACTAACTGTTAGTAGGTATACTCGCAGTTTCTGCCTTTGTATTCACCGCTTATTTTCTTTAATAAAACACAGTTTGAATAAAACTGGAACAGTTTGAATACTCGTGTTGATACAATAGAATCTTCTAGCAAATAGAAGCGAAAAATGCGAAACGAAAGTATCAGGCCGAAAAATCCGAGGCGCGTTCAAAATATTTGTACAGGAAAATGTTTTCAAAGTAAAGGAAACTTTTAAAACGAATTTGTATTTCTTATAGCTGTTTTCAGTTTACGTCTTTGCCGGCATCTTGTTGTCTCTTTGGGAAACAAGAGATAATGTAGAAGCTTAAAGCGATTTTGTGTTTTATTGTTAGTGTTATTTGTACCTACTTATGTACCTATTCTAACACAAAAAAGAAAAATGAAATAATTTCTTTCCCGGTCAATCGAACTCTTATCCTCAGAATCGAGAGAATCTTACTTATCTTAGAACTGTATTGTTATTTAACCACAACTCACTTGGCGGACAGTAATAATGATCAGGCCGAAGGTGCAAGCGAGTTTTACCCGGCATCTTCAACAGAGTAACTGGCTATTTATTTTTACTTACTGCCAAAAATTCGGCTTATTTCCACCATTTTTCTTCTACTGGTGGACATCGGGTAAAAATGTTAATTGCGGATTAGGGATAGTGGGGGACAATGGGAATATTAGGAGAAAATTCTGTTATTATCATCATCATCCACTGCTGAACAATAAGCCTCCCAAATTAGCCTCCTAAATTTTGTTAACATTAACATAAAACAAAATCCGCTTCCTCTCTCCTTTTGCATCCCATCATCTCCCATGCCAGAACACGTCCTCGGCAGAAGTAATCAGTGTCGGTGCCACTTCATCGGCGCGGGAACTCCTGGCGAAATTAAAAACCACCCCCGTTTGCATTCCATTAGCGACGCCCAAATTAAAATTTGAACTATTGTCTCCCGTAACAATGATCTTGCGACGCTCTTTGGGAACTATTCGAGGAAATTGTGGAAGTTTACGGTTGGTGGAGGCTGGTTTTAGAGGTCTCGTTTGATGTAATTTAGGTGCTGAAGAAATAAATGATAGTTCTTCAGAGAATAGAACATTAGTAGGTAGAGGTTAAAGTTATTTTTTTAAATTAATTATTCTTAACTAGCGGACGCGAAACTTTTGTCAAAAGGGCATGAGTTAAGCAGTTTTAGCATGAAGGAGTGACAAGCCTCACTTCAATGCCACTGAGGGGAAATCTTATTACCTAATTGTGTACGTATTTCCATAATATTATTTTTGCCCTGGCTAGACTAGCCAACAGTCGAAAGAATTATACATGACGTATCACAGAATTTAACCCTTGATCCCCTGATCACTTGTCCGTAATAAAGCTCTGCTTAGTTGAGTCCAGGTAATAATAATATGTGCTTGTATCTTACTGTAAATTTTAATCGAACATTTCCTCTTGTCCCCAGGCTACTTCGGCAAGTACTTGAACAAGTACAACGGGTCCTACATCCCCCCCGGCTGGCGCGAGTGGGGAGGGCTCATCATGAACTCCAAGTACTACAACTACAGCATCAACATGAATGGGAAGCGGATTAAGCATGGCGATGACTATCATAGAGTAAGTATTTTTAAATTAAAGTTCTTGCAACTTACGAAGGCGAGTGAGCTTTACTTGTGTGTGTACGTGTACATGCACATAACGATAGTGTAATGTTTATCAAAACTTTTGAAAAAACGAACAGTAGCGAGCCACCACACATGTAAAGCTCACTCGCCTTCGTGAATTGCAATAACTATTTTAATATCCCAGTGCCTGGTAACCCCTCAAGAAAGCTAATAATGTGCTTATGCTAATAGTGGTTTCTCACCACAATTGGATCGAACCAGTGTTCATAGAAGCTGGAATTGGCAGTCTGATGCCGACACTGTTAGGTTATTGTTAGATTTTTAAGGCGAAAAATAGTAACACGTAGTGCTAGGGTACCCCCTGCCACTTTTTTAGTACCTAGCTAAGTAAAAAGAAAGTTTCACTATCTATAATGTATAAAAATAAATTTTCTCACAGGACTACTACCCAGATCTGATAGCCAACGACTCCATCGCCTTCCTCCGGGCATCGAAGAGGCGATTCGCAAGGAAACCGGTGCTGCTGGTGATGTCCTTCCCAGCTCCTCACGGGCCTGAGGACTCTGCTCCTCAGTACTCTCATCTGTTCTTCAACGTCACCACCCATCAGTGAGTACCAGGATAATTAGCCTTATTAGTTATTACCCCATGAGTGTCGCTATAAATGTAAAGTTCGTTTGAAGACCTTCAGGCATGAGCGGTAAGGTTTAAAAAATAAAACCTTACAACAACTTCCAAAAATTCAATAGAATTTTCGTAGTAGGCAAGAAATCCATTCCATATTTGTAGCTTTCGTAGCATTGCCTTTTTCTTAAAACTAAACTAAATGTATGTTGTGTTTGATAACAAAAGGTTTTTTTTTTTAAGTTTGTGTTAGCAAAATATCATAAGTATAAAACCTAAACAACAACCGATGGGAGCCGAAATTACAATAGATAAGAATCGTTGAAAATAGCTGATCAACATTTAACTGAATTGACTACTCACATAAGTAGCTTAACATTATTTGTGGACTAGATGTCTATCGATGCTAACAAAGATGCCTACTTAGTCTAGAATATTATGGTGGCTACAAGCTTTAATAGACTATTGTATTGTACAGTTAATCCATATCAAACTGAAAACTGTGACTTTTATACAGTTGAAATAGGGGCTATATTGCAACAAAAATGTACTGCCTGAAGTGCTACTCACTGTACATTAAACAAACTGGTAAGCAGATAGGTACCTTACTATCATCTTGTTACAGCTTTGAATTTGAAAGTTAGGTATTCAAATCCATTGTGCGCTTCAAGATAACCAAACAGTAGTCATTGTAACATTTTATCGCGATACAATTCAAAAGCTTGTCTGTAATTTGGATAATGATTTCGTGGAAGCCAGACATTTTAACGTTTTGTCCGCGAATTTGTTTGTGTGTAAATTTCCTTTATATCAACACATTGATATAAAGGAAATTTACAAAATTCCAAAAATACAGTTAGAACTAAGTAGGTCTTAAAACACACAAGGGGTATTTAAATTTTTTTCGACTTGAAAAACGTGCTTTTGCAATATTGACATAGATTTTTCATAATAATCTACCTAAGCAAAAACCGAAAAATAAAATCAAAGCCAATTAGTTAACAAACATCGCAATTACATTCTTCAGTGTTCAATTCAATATAAATCAACAACAGAACTCATCTAAGACAAGGTCCTTCATTAGAAGTCAAGTACGTAAGTACCTACTATAAAAGTACCTACCGACGATAGGTACGATTTGCCTCCCTTAAAGGTCAATCCCTCAATCAATAAGGCTCCTTCGGCTATATTGCGGCCTAAAGGTAAACTGGGGAATTTGCTTGTTTGACGAACACAAACTCGTTTATTGACTGTGCCCCGGATACCGAAAACTTTTTGTTGAATGAAACACAACTTTGATTGAAACAAAAAACGGGGACACGGGTACCAATGGCACCATGGAGTTTTTTGATTTTCAACATTTGAAGACTACTACGTAATTTAGAAGCGTCATAATTTTACGACATTTGTGAAATAATGCGAACGTTGGACACCAAAGACAAAAACCTAGTTTTTAACTCAGTTTATTATCGAGGTAGTTATAAGGACTGCATTTTTCTTGGAGTCACTAATTTATTTTCTTTCGTTTAAATAAAAAAATATATTTTCCTGAGCGACACCAGATGATAAAGATTGCCAAATCCAAAATTATAGCCGTTAACATCTCAATCGCTCAATACATATTATTATTATTATGTCCTCTCCCACACCATTCGCTGAATAAACAAACGAGGCTGATCCCCAACTAGGGGTCAGTATTAGGTACCTATAAGCAGTTTAAAATGGCAGGGTAAAGTTAAAATTCAGATATGATATCGAATGTATCGCCTTTGTATGAATAATATGAATTGTGGAATGGAATTTTCAAAACTATTATATCCCCACCATTGATTCAACTTCTGTATACCCAGGATCTGCAGCATGGCCTGCAATAATACCTGTGTGGAGTAGTAACATGTTTTAATAAATTGTAAAAATCATAGCTTTAACCAAGACTTCTTTCTGTACATTACTTATTCGAGAAACTGTTCAGAATACAGAATTATGTACAGGGAGTGTCATAAACAGCGCTGGCGTGCGCCGTTTAAATCACTGGTTGCCAAATAAACACTGAAAATGTCTTAATTTTATCAGTCTCAATAAACTATGTAGGTATCTCTATATGCATGCTTGTCTATAAAGCCTTTGCGACAAATGATAATTGAACAAATAGGTAGGTACAACAGGTATATCTTGGAAAAACCTTCATACACTTGCTCAGACCAGCTTTTCTTTTACCGCCACGGCAGACAGGCCAAGTTATCGTGTGAAGCAAAAAGTAACCGGACAAGTATATGCATGCTCATGAAACATAAATCGGCAACGTGTGTCGAGATGGGAGAAAAATTATTCGGGGCACCGCAAGAGCACCTGAAATTTTAGAGAGCACGAAAAACAAGGTCGCGCTTTCGGGTGCCGTATCCGTAATTCCCTTTGAATATTCTTTGCTCGTTAATTCGAGCGTCATTATGAACTTTGCTATTCTGATATCAGGGCAGTAAGTTAGTAATTAAGACGTGAAGTGCGGTTTTAATTAATAGGGGTAAATCTGAGGCAGGTGTTGACAACATTGAAAGGGAAACGGGGAAAGTGAAATAGGTGTTGACATTACACTTGGTAGTAAAAAGTCGAGTTATTACAAGACATGATGAAAATATTGTCGTCATTTATCTATAGATTCATACACATACTCACTCACAGATTGGGTATTAAATACAAATAGTCTGAAACTAACTTATTCACCAATACCATAATTTGCCAAATCAAGCCATCTATCATAGGTACACAACACACTAATACTTTAGAAGGCTCTCGGCTCATGGCTTGCTATCTCGCGGCCAACGTTCGAATGCCTCATAGGAATATATTTTTGTTATCCCGTACGACTCCCCGCGTTCCTCAGGTGTAATTTGATGTATACTTATTAAGGCTTATTTGAGGATAGAGAAGACATAAAGACAATCTACAGATAAAGTTAGAGTATACTATAAGTTGAAACTAAGATGAATATAGAGGTATACTTTAATAAAACCTTATTCAAAAAGTAAACGTTAAACGTATTAACGAAGCAACGTGTAACGGCAGGTTTCAGGCCATAAACAAAGTTTATGTTGAAAAAGTTTGCATCGTAACGTGCGGATCCCAAAAGCCGGTCAGCTCCTAAATACTTAAGCAGGACCAAGATGGCGGCCCTCGCGAAAATGCCGCAGCAATTAATGTTTTCTGAAATATTCACCGAAGGGACTTCGAGTTGTTATTAGTGCTTTTCAACCAGCTGAATGGGACGGGAATTGGGATTCTAAGAAACTTGGCTCTCATTCTCTCATACTCGTATAAGTAGGTACGAGATTTTACTCTTATGTGGACAGTTAAATTGGTCGATACAAGGCAATTTTTTATTACGTCATGGCACCAAGGAATAGTTTACTTAGGAAAACGAGGTCCTACGCCTTTAAAGAATGTTACTCGTAGTTTCATTAATGATTCGACTTGGTCAATGGTCGATGACCGTCTAAGTGGAGTACAAAGTAGAAGCTGAACCTTTAGAAAATCTATGTTATGGTATTTCTAAAGACTGAGTATTTTTCATTTTATTAATAAAATATAATTGTTACAAAAACTCGAACATTTGCCTGATGACATTAATCAAGTTTCTAATTAAGCTCGTTTATTATTAGTATCATAATTTATTATTTTAATTTTGACATTCATTTATTGACGTTGCAAGATCTATTTAAACCCGCTTCGATGAAATACTAACCATATTGTGTCTCATAAGTACAACGACAGCACATCATCATGTTCTTTTTGTTGCAAAATAGGCTCTATTAAAACACATTAATTGATTACTGCAGTTTGCGGGCGTTGGTAATGATTGCAATTGAAATGACATTCGATTCGATTCTCCAAATTAATTTATAGGCTTTTATTAAAAGGCTATTCAAAGCATTGCAGTAACGATAATTGACAACAGATTTCAATTTGCCAGTTATTATTCCTGCAGCTGAATTCAAAATTGAATCTACGAGTATTTTGGTAATAGGTACACAAACATGCTAAATCAGCATGATTTGTTTGTCATTTGACATTAGTTTAACTTATGTAGTTTATATTAGTCTGACACTAGGGTTGTGACAACCCGAGAAAACCTATTCGACAAAATATTTTTTAGAATTCACTTACGTACCTATTTTTTATCACTTATTTAACAGGTCAAAATGCTTTGCTCACTTCGCCTCAGTCGAAAGACAGCTTTTAAGCTCCGCGTGAGAAAGATCGCACATTTACTTATAAAAACTTGTTCTATCCTTAGAAGTTAAAATGCATAGTAAAACCACATAATTCCATATCACGGCCGTCATCAATATCACATTATTTAATTAAAAATACATAGAAAATTGTACTTCTAATTGCTTCACGTAATCAAATGATTTAGAACCGGACGATCGATAATGCGCTGTTTCCTTCCAATTACCTTTAATAAGCATGTTAAATGTATTAAAATTAACGCTAAATGATACTTCGTCTAGACCGAGATGATTGCTTAATTTTGCATCCCAACTAATATTATAAATGCGAAAGTAACTCTGTCTGTCTGTCTGTTACGCTTTCCCGCTTAAACCTCGCAACCGATTTTGATGAAATTGACATAGAGATAGTTTGAGTCCCGGGAAAGAACATAGGATAGTTTTTATCCCGGTTTTTTAAACAGGGACGCGCGCGATAAAGTTTTTCTGTGACAGACAAAATTCCACGCGGGCGAAGCCGCGGGCGGAAAGCTAGTTGATAATAATTTCTTCTCGGTTAAACAGACTGCGTAATTGGTAACTGATTTATACTTAGCTTTATTTATTTTTGCATTAGCCTTAAGCTGTGTAGAAAATTGACAAAAATACTTTATTCATTAGTGACTTGCCAAATTACTTAATAATCACACGTCCATAAGAAACTTCACACTTTAAAGAAAACCGCTACCAACCGGGCAACATGGAAAGCGTTGGGGGAGGCCTATGTTCAGCAGTGGACGTCCTATGGCTGCGATGATGATGATGATGATGATGATAAAGATAACAGTTCAGTAAAAGCTCTAGCAACATCCTTTGTCATTTCTTATTTTAGTTACTTAATCTACTTGTAAAAAAAAAACTACTGTAAAAATATTATCTTACTTATTTGTAATATGTGTAAAGTATGGAGCCTACAAGTTTGCTCGTATACATTGGCGAGAAGCTACCAGCACTCTCTAAAATATACATTAACTTGTCTGCATATACAGGGTATCCCAGAATGGGTGAATCAAACTGATAGGGGAGGTAGCTCTACCAATGTACTATCCCTAAAAAATATGAAAAAAAAAATTTGAGTTCGGATTTTTTTTTAAAGTGCTCTAGACTCGATCCTGTATGTATAAATTGTATTACCTTACAAAAACCAAACTCCGGTACTTGTAACAAAACATTTACCTACGCGTTCTTTCGATTAATAAATCATATTAATTAGGGTATTTAAACTTTTAAATTACTTTATATAAATACTACTTATTAACTGTGCCCGTAACATAATTGTACGCGTGGACCGCTAGCTTTAGACATGTTAAATTAAATTGCTAAAAATAAAAACTACCTACCAAGTCAATGCATTGATAACGCTCTTTTAGTTTCCCATTAAAATCGTTATCGCATTTACCTGAACTAGTGTTGTTTTGTTTTAATCGATGCAGTTTCGCGTTGACCTTCTCGATTTAAATAATCGGAATACCTACACACGAGTTTGTGATCCCCTACGGAGCGGATCCTTAGCACATAAATATCGTTCGGCGGACAGGGCGGCATAATTGTCGGCACATGAAAGTCGCTCACAGGGCTGTCAACGATATTGCATTCATTTATTAAGCTTTTAAGTTCGTATTACAAAAAATGTAAACTTGATTCAATTTCAGCCATTTCTCTGGCTCTTTGACTGGTCTAAATACAGAAATGTAACCAATCAATAGCCTTAATTTATGATTTAAATTGAATCGAGCTTTGATCATCGACCTATTTTGAAGCCAACCATGGTTTTGTTTGTTGTATTTACCTAATTGTATATCGTTTCTTGACCGTCATACTTTGTCTCTGTAAATTCTGTAACACTTGTATTATTTTAACTGTATTGAACATCAGCATTTATCAGTCAATCACTGATCATTCAGTTTTATGCGGTAACATAAATTTGCATGATGTTTTGTGTAAAGATTATGCAAAATCGTAATGTAGATTCATCAGGTACATACACTGTGTAACACGGGTGATTTTGCAATTTTATTGCAGTCTGATGTGCTTGTTGTCTGTACTTTTATGGGTGGCAACCCTAAACATGTCTCATCGGAGAACCGATCGTGAATTCGTGAGTCGGAGCTTGTAACTTAATTCCAGGCATCAAAAATATTTAAGGTTGATGACCCTGCGCTAATCCCTCATACGAATAAACGACAGTCGTTTAATGTAGTATATTTAATTATACTGTTTGATATACACACGCGCCTTAATGAGTCGGCCATACTGTCGCCGACTCATTTAATTCCTATTGTTATTGGTGATTGAATTAAGCTGGTTTATAAAGCTAAGGTTAGGACTTAAGTATTCAGTAAGGGCCGAGAAGACACGAGTAAAAACCAAACTTTATTTATTAGGATACTTGGATGTTGACAGTTTATTCTTACACAATCACCAGTTTAATAGACATATTCCAGTGATGGAGCACACCTAGAGCTTAGAAAATATGGCCAATCCTAAAAGATTGTCTAACGGTAATCTATCCTGAAATCAGTCAAACACATTATTATATCCCAAACAAAAAAAAAAACAAACAACGATGAATTTCTTTCTTTTCGCGTTCGCCCTAAATACAATATTGATTACGATACCCTACCGATGCAGCCCCACAAAATAACGTCTCGGTTTCATACCGCGATTATGCAAGTATGGAGATCACCTACATCCATTATTCCCTGCCGCGACAAGGCGGCGCCGGGAATCGAACCCGGGACCGCTTTAATATTCAGCCATCGGCGTATTGTGTGGTCGCTTTCCGATAACCTGCCACGGCGGTCTGTAGGAACACTATAAATAACAAATTTTGCAGGAAGTTCTTTTTTGTATCGTTAAAACAAAAAGTTAATCCACTCGGGCAACTTTTTGGCACAAAATGGAAAAAAGAAGTTAAATTGATGACGATGTAGGACTAAATAAAGAGAAGGAAGCAAAAATAAGTCACTTTGTATTGAGACTATTGAACTAAGTATATTGCTAAAATCACTTTACCCAGCTTTTAGTTTGTAGTTTATGTAGATAACTAAGTAATTACTGATTTTAACAGTTGGTCTACAGTTTATTTGTCTATTTTGAATAAAAGACTGTTTTATTTTTGTGAATAGATTAATGTGTGATAAAAAAAATGAATTTTCTTTATCTAACCAAACTTATTTTGAGACCGCTAAACTCCTTGACCTTAATATGACTGGCCACTAAGAAACTGTTTTTTATTCATCGACTAATTTCGATCCTCAATTGTTTCATTTACTTTTCAACGATTTTTTTTACGACGACGCGACGTTACATTAGTTTTATTGTAGGTATTTAGGAGGTACGAAATCACAGATTCACTACTCTTCTGTCTTACAAATTTTAAAAGGCATTGCCACACTGGCCGCGAGTCGGCCCAGCAGTCAGGCATCGTGTACATTCTGTACAAGTGTACATGTATCTGACATTAATTGGACGTCTGTATCAAATGCCTTAATTAGTTTTACTTTTTAACGGGCCACGTTTCCAAAAAAAGAAAATGTTGCATACACATTCGCGAAATTAAAATGTAATGATGATATGGCTTATTCAGGCAGGGCTCAACGAAGTAGGTCTGACTGCATGATGAGTTAGCTTATTTTAACAAAATGCGTAGATTTTTTATTTTATCACATAACTAAATGTAGGAATCAAAATTTCTTGTTTTCGCTAGCGTCTCCGCTTGCCTAGATTTACCTTTCGTTAAAAGATAACCGGTTAACATGATATTTTTTGAAGAGTGGAATATTATAATAATGGTGCAAATTGTGGAATCCGATCAGTTTCCTCCAGACGCAAATAATATCTTTGACAAATTAATAACATACCTACCTAGTACCTATTCCTTAATTTGTCAAACGTTATCAGTTACTTAACCACAGCTTAAAAGACTAGGTAGTGGTGAGGTGGTATACAGTTTGATGCATCTGAATTAAGATAAATTAAATCGCGGGAAAAACCTGGATGGGAGTGTAGGACCGGTCGTTGTGGAATTCCTTGGGGAAGCCTTTGTCTAGCAGTAGACGTCATTTGGCTGAAACGAACTCTTGATGGCTATTTGCATATTATTTATTTGTCTATTTACCTTGTCCACAGCACCCCAACTTATGACATGGCCCCGAACCCCGACAAGCAGTGGATCCTGCGGGTCACGGAGAAGATGAAGCCGATCCACCGTCAGTTCACCGATCTGCTCATGACGAAACGCCTTCAAACGCTGCAGAGCGTCGATATGGTGAGTACATAATGCGTGTAGTGGAGATACCTACATACGATACTCTTTAATGGACACCACACAAAAGAAATGCAAAATTGTAACGGCACAATTTAGGCTGACTTATCGCTAGTTAGAGGTGACAAGCAATGGTTAAACTACTGTGGCAGACCCACTCCTTGCCCAAGCTTTATGTGCTTAGTTCCTCATGTGATATGGTTTTCCATAAGTTAAATAAGCGTGTTAAAAGGGTTTCTTGATCTGCTGCAAGGTGTGGAGCAGATCTGTCATGTTTAAAACTTTTGAAGTGGTCCGACTTTGACACTATAAAATGTAAGATCAAGACAGTGTTGTGTACCTACCTACTTAAATCAGACGTTGCATCAGTTTTTAACGGTAAAAATATTTCAATAAGTTCATCCAAAGTGAGTTCTAAGAAATTAACTACCGGTCCTGTCCTGGAGACTACCTACCGTGCAAAATCATTGAAAGTAACTGTTTTGTTTTATTGAGAAGCACTTTTTTCTTCGCTGGAATAACTAAGTTTAAATATTCATGAGTTTTTTGAAGACATTAACTAAAATGAAGCTGTATTATGGGCAGTATATTCCGAACAGGAAGATGAGAAAGCAACCTAAGATTTCCTATAATATTTTGATGATTATTAGTCCTTAACATAGGTATGTAACGTTACACTTCATGTAGCATCATTAACTAACATTTTAGACGATGTATTAGACATCGATGAAATCGTTCGTCGAATTTCGTACTAATCGTAAAATCTTCTTTCTTCTTTTTCAATGTGATACACGGTTTAATTTCAGGCTGTAGAACGAGTGTACCAGGAGCTCAAAGCTCTTGGAGAGCTGGATAACACGTACTTGGTGTACACGTCAGACCATGGCTACCACTTGGGCCAGTTCGGGCTGGTGAAGGGCAAGAGCTTCCCGTTCGAGTTCGACATCAGGGTGCCGTTCTTGGTGCGAGGGCCTGGCGTGGAACCGGGAACTGTGTAAGTACTATTCTTATATCGAATAGAGGAACTTTCCTATAACATTTTTGAAATTCTCAAATTCAGGACTAATTAATTATTAATTTTCTAAACATTTGATAGTAAAATGTTTTCCATATCACTACTCTATCACTATTAAATTTAATATTTTTACTGCCTTTTATTAGCTTTAGCTTTCATTACTGTCTTCTATCAATAATATTAATTTGAATTCTATTTTATTTTATGCGCACGAACCGGGGTACAAATAATATGAATGTAACTTTGCTAGTTTTGAATAACTTTAAGCCTAGCTTAGGTCACGGAGCAGTTTGATCATTAAGCTATTTTCTTCGGAAAGTTTTAAACTGATAATTTCTCGTAGCTCTCTTCCAGAGGTTTAATTTTTACTACACAAGTCACTTTATGGTTCTTGTACACGAAAAACTTTTTCACTGAAACATACTTATTTATATCGATGCTGTGTTGCTCGCTTATCCAATAGGGTTGGCAAAAAATATTGCCTATACAAAATTTTCATAAGGGTCATCGCGACTGTTTAATAAAGGTCGCCACTCGCCATATTCAACGCCTCACTCGATCACTCCTCTGTCCAGTGATTATAAACTATCACTGTTTATTTCAGGGTGGACGACATAGTTTTGAACATCGATCTAGCGCCTACTTTCCTCGACATGGGTGGCGTGGAGCCCCCAGCTCACATGGACGGCCGGTCGCTGCTGCCGCTGCTGCAGCCGCGGCGCAGACGCATGGCAACCGCGCACTGGCCAGACACATTCCTAGTTGAAAGGTATTTATTATGATAAAAAAAACAATTGAATATGCTACGTCATTACGCAACGCCTTACGGTGTCACACTGGCTTAAAGGATAAAGTTATTCAATAACTCTATACTCATTTTTTTTAAAGTGGCACGTTGATACATAAAGGTTTGTCATCTTTGATCTAGAATCTATGTATCTAGATTGTAGATAATTATAGCCNCATCTGTGAGCTGAGTGTGAGTTTAATAAATGTATGAAAATTTTAGTTTTTAAACGTTTCCCGCTTGGGGCGCTGTCCGCACAATGCGTCATACATTTAATGTCATTTTTTGACGCGCTCACTAGTAAGCACGTTTGATGTAAACTTGCACTAGCCACATAACCTACCCTGTCCCCGCAGGGTAGGTATGCGATTCAACGCATTTTTTCCCCGTAAAAAAAAAAAAGGCCCTGTGTAGTAGCAGGAGCTATTATGCAACAAAATATACCTACAGGCTGATGTGCTATTGACTGTAAGTATGAAAATACATGAGTATCTTCTCATTCAACAAGTCACCCTGTATATTGCAGTCTGTAGCTGGTAAGAACTAGCTCCTGACACTCTCCTTGCTTAAAATCCGTGGCTCACCCCTATTCCATAATCTGAGATGCGAATAAGAGAGAGAGGCCGCTATATGGTCTGCATTGAATCGCTGAAGCTATATCGTCTTATGGCCAACGCCAACGACATATCTCTTATCCGTCTACAATGAAATTTGTACTTTAAGACGTCGTTTTAAAGTTTGTCTTTGAGCGTGATGGGAGTGGATAAACACTTTTTGGTTAGAAAGGTTTTAGTGTTGTGTGGGTAAAGGTTAAAGGAAGTTTTTCTCTTTGGATCAGAAATGTATCAGGTAATAGGGTGTGCGTTACATGAGTATTTCAATAATAATGAAATTTGTTTACAAATTAAACCGTAAAGATAAGAGTTTGTTAAAAAAAGCAGATTATAGATAAGATTCGGAAATATATACTCATTTCTTTCCATAGCACTCGTAAGTACAATCGTTAAAATAATTAGAATATTTTTTTTTAAATAATCTAGTACTGTGTTACCTAAGCTACAAAATTATATGAGCCATTATCCAGCGATTTTGATTGTGTAAGACATTCAGTAACAGACTGAAACTTTACGTGGATAAACCAGTGGGCAGCAGCTACTCAAATAAAGGTCAAATTAACTAAATATAGTAGTGGTAAGTATAATGTGCATTTAGAAAATTAATCTGTAAATCCTAAATGCTAAATAAAGCGTAGAAACAAAAGAAAACTTATAAAAACGTTCGCTGTGTGGCGGCGCGGTGAAATTAAAAGGAGTAAGTACTGCATTACACAAAAGAAGCGTGATTACACGTCACAAGTAAGGAACCTTTTGTTTCCCTGCTTGTGTTTTTGAAATGTAGAAAAATAGGTGCACAATAAAGTACCTAAGTAACTGGAGAAAATTGAGAAAAAGTAAAGTACGCTACACACTATGCTCCATATGCCCGAAACGTTAAGACGTATCAAAAACATTAAATTCATAAAACTCCATTCTGTTCTTTATTTTATTTTCATTAGAACCTATGACGTCACTTACTTAATTGACAACTCAAGCAAAGCAAGAAAGTGACCAATTCAATAGTTTTTAATAACTATTCTTATCTGGGGGCACGGCAGTGCCCCCACCAAGTCGAGCAAAAAAGCGGCACGGCCGTACCATCCTTTTCTCGAAGCAATTCAGGCCATTTTCGACCGCCTGTAACTTCGTTGTGGATAAAACTAGAAGGCTGAATTTTCATTAACTATGCAGGCATTGTAAAGACACGGTATATTTAAAATTTCATTCAATTTGAACCAGTAGTTTAAGAATTATAACGGGTCAAAGTTACTTAATTTTGTCACTCACTGACTCACTGACTCACTGACTCACCGATCATCAAAACTCTAAGGCACTTCTAGCAGACCTAGAAGCTTCAAATTTGGAATATAAGTAGTGTTTGGTGTATGAATCAAGGAAAAACTAAAATATTTGGGGGCACGGTAGCGCAACCGCCAAGTCGAGTAAAATTTTTCAATTTCGGTCCAGTTTTCTAGATACATAACTGCTGTCTACAAAATACAAAAAGAAATGAGATCCCATCAAAANAGCCACTTTTCTTTCACGACTATAAAAAGATTTTAGCAATTTCATTCACAAAATCAATTGCGCACATTTAAAATAAAGTTTGTTTACACTTTGACAGCAATAGACTGACATGCAAGGTGACATGTCAATGAAGTTTTCAGTTATAGCCTGACCAGGAACATAAAAACCCTCGCCATGTTGCGGAAAACTAATGGAACTAATTTCTTTTAATGGCAACAGTAACTGAAAACTTCATTGTCATGTCACCTTGCATGTCAGTCTATTGCTGTCAAAGTGTAAACAAACTTTATTTTAAATGTGCGCAATTGATTTTGTGAATTAAATTGCTAAAATCTTTTTATAGTCGTGAAAGAAAAGTGGTTCACAATGTGTTAAAGTATTTGTCGAAGAGAAATACTAAGGGTTTGGACAATATTTTTATTGAATAATGTTTTCGACAAAGGTTGTCAAATTGACTGACATGTTTATCGTATAGTACAGTCCACTATGAAAATTAGCTGTGGTTTGTTTCAACTACCTATTTTAAAGTTTTTTGTCACTTTCTAAGTGTTGAATTTTATGGAATTGGGAAAGAAGTACCGAGTTTGAAGCGTTCATGAGCAGGCATTGCAGTTGAATATTCAAGTTCTGAATTTGAATATTGATGAATAATAAAATAAATCCTACTAACTCGATTGATGGTTTCATTTAACTTATTTAAACCAGGTTACCTATAATAATATATTTTCGTTAATTTATGAAAATATCAAATTAGCCCGTAATCCTGAATCCTGATACATAAAGTTAGCCTATTAATTTAACACAGGTACGACTGTACTCAGTGTTGCACTATCAAATGCAATTGACGCGCCTCTTTGCCAAGGTTTTTATGTTCCTGGTCAGGCTATACTGTTGCCATTAAAAGAAATTAGTACCATTAATTTTCCGCAACATGGCGAGGGTTTTTATGTTCCTGGTCAGGCTATAAATAAGCGTAGGTAGTAGGTGGTAGGTATTCATCTAAGAATTTAATGAATCGGAATGTAAGGTCAAACCAGAGAATTGTCAAACAAGTCTCAAGTTCTCAACCATAATATGCAAGATTGAACTCATAAATTTACTACAGTTTTCGCTTACAAACTGATGTCAATTTTTTGTGATTTCAGCTCAGGGAGACGCGAGACTCAGGCGCATTTGCTAGCATCAAAATACAGCCGGCTAATGAATGAACGAGCGAGCACTCCCCAGCCAAACGATGTGTCTTCGGAGAGTGATTTCGACGAAGAATTCGACGATGACGATTTTCTGGAGCCAGATGACGACGAAGAGGATGATGATGATGAGGTACGGACAATAATTTGACGATAAAAATCCAAATACATAGATGTGAATTAAATACATAGATATAAAAAAATTAAATTGTGACTAATGATAACATTTTCGTTTAGGAAAGTTCTGAATCGCAAAATGTGGAGGCAAAATCATCTGTGGAACCGTTGATCAGCAATGAAAGTCACAATCCAGTACTAGAAGCCAAATTCGAAAAAGCTTTGGAGGAAGCCAGTACCAACGGACAGTCGGATTTCTTAAATCCAGAAGGTACGTGTAACTTTCAAAGTCTTGTCTTGTAACTTTTATCTGTCTGATAAATGGAAACTAGAAGTCTAAAATAACTTTTCAGAAGGAGCAGATTCCTCATTTTTGAATGGCAAAGCAGCTCGTTTGGCAGCAGAATGTTCGAAAGCTGAACTTCGAGCGCCATGTTCCGCAGGCAGAAAGTGGAAGTGTGTCTTGGTAAATGGAAGATGGAGGCGACACAAGTGCAAGTACGAGGTAAGGTTTAATAAAATACTTGTTAACTTGTGTATCAAAGTTAGTTTAGGAAGAAATAAAATTAATAAAATATTATTAATTTTAGTCTGAAATAAGCACCACTACCCCTAAGATGAGTACGAAAAAGTGCGCCTGCTTCACTCCCAGTGGTCTGGTTTACACCAGACTTGAAACCGACGGCACTATAGCAAGACGTCCCAATGATACTTTGAAGGAAACTAATGGATCCAGAAGCCGCCGATCTATTGACAATGAAGTTTATGAACCTAACACTGTTGATAGCATTCTCGAAGAAAACCCAAGCATTGGACATTTAAGTTTCAGAAACGAGCCTATCGACGAAGACGCGAATAATAGCTTCCAAGAGAGCATCGATCAACTTATAAAAGAAACTGAAGCCTTTTTAAAAGCTTACGAAAATACCAAAGAAAATATAGAACATAAGAGGACAAAACGAAGGGCTCAGCATTGGACTCATAACAATAAAAATAAACACAAAAATGATGCCATTGTAAATAGTAATGAATCGTCTTTAGAGTGTAAGATTGAAAAGGATGGAACAGTAAACTGTTCACAAGTTATTTATAATGATTTGAAAGCATGGCACACTAATAGGCTTAGTTTGGAAGACCAAATAAGACAGTTAAGAACTAAACTCGAGGATTTAAAGGAAATAAAGCGACATTTGAAAACTGCAAAGCCTTTAGAATCTCAAAATGTACATTCGCATCTTGTAAATAACCATCTGCATAACAAAACAGCTACTCACGACCATAACAGTTCAAAGGAACATTTAAGGAAGAACCGATTACACAGACTCAGATTCAAACCTAAGGGCAATAACACATCTTTCGACAAAAAGTTTAGACAGTCTAACGAATACATAATGCCTACTGTGAACGCTAATACCAAAGACGATATTTTCGACATTCAACTTAAAAACGAAACTGTTACTGAAACTCCTGCAGCTAACTTCAATGTTACTGACGAAGGAGTTACGACAACATTCATCGATCCTCTAGATAGGGAATTACCAAAGCCACAGGTAACGACTATCATAATAGAAGGCAACAACTTTTACCAGAATGGATTAAACGTAGACAAGACTACAGTACAAAACGTTGAAACGTCTACTGGTGGAGAGGAAGTAGTATCTGTGGAATTGGAGAGGCAATTTGAAACGTCTAGTACTAAACACGATAGCACAACGGAGCAAGCGATTCCCGTTAACTATTCCGAAAGAGCGCAATACTTCAATTCGGCAATCGACAAGATACTGTCCACAGAAAAGACAGTGGAATTAGATAGCGAAATCACACCTATAAATACTACAGTAGAGACACCAACAACAACTACAAATTCTCCGCGGAAATTAGGACCAACAAGATTCGATGCTTCAGAATATGAACAGAGAAATCCCAATAAGGAGTCATCGAAGAATACGAGTGTCTTTAACAAGCAAGTTGATGTGTTCCAAAGACGGCTTCATCCTTTGTTTATTGAGAACGAGGACAAACATGTTTGTTATTGTGAGGAAAGCAGGTGTGTATTCGATTTCTTCTGGTAAATAAGAAGTTCTAACTTGTGGTTTTTCCATTAATTGGTATTTCATAGGATCTAATGTAAAATTTAATGTTTTCAGGAAAGTCAGAGGTCCTGGTCATAGTTACTTGGAAGCGGCTCAAAAAGCTAGAGAAGAGCGAAGAAAGCTTAAAGAACAAAGGCTTCGCAAAAAAATGAGAAAGGCTAAGAAGAAGGTGCGTAAATACATCAATTTATTATCCACTCATTCTTTCCAGATTCAGTCTTATTTGTAGGATATTGAAAATTCGTTAAAAATGGTTTTCTTTAAAATTTTGCTATTGACTAACGCCTGAACTGTGTGGTATCCAGATTAAATTATTTTAAGGACGTAGCACATATCAACCAGGAAAGGGATCGTAACCGTATCAACTTGAGACGGTCAGTATTATTTGTATGAAACTCCATACTGCAACACACATTTTTCCGCACCGTAACGTAAACGCCTCGCCTTGCGGCTTACAGCGCGCGAAAGGCGATGACAGCTCGCGAAAAGCGATACGGTATTGATCTCTTTCAGAGTTCCGATAAGTCTGCTATGACGTGTTTATTTAAAAAATATTTTACAGGCCGAGTTGGAAAGGCTGTGCGAGTCCGAGCGTATGAATTGCTTCCGACACGACAACGACCACTGGCGCACCGCTCCGCTCTGGACAGCGGGGCCTTTCTGCTTCTGCATGAGCGCATCTAACAATACCTACAACTGCGTGAGAACCATTAATGCGACACACAACCTTCTGTACTGCGAGTTCGTGACTGGACTCGTCACTTACTACAACTTGAGAATTGGTCAGTACCACCATATCTACCCGTTTTACTTGTACTACGTAATTCCGTCCTTAAGAATTTTAGAAAAACATGATAGCTAAACGCGCTGCATCTGCTGATTCAACATTTTTAAAACGAATCACTTTTATGTAGACGCCAAGCTAAATAAGTCAAGTTATGAAATTGTTTAAAGAAAAAAATCTGGCTAGAAGGACCATTATAATTTTTAAGGCTATATTGATATTTCTCGTGTTCTTCTAATGTCTGTTTCTTTATTTACAGATCCTTTCGAAACGCAGAACCGAGTGAAATACTTAACAGCTGCAGAGAAAGATTACTTCCATAATCAACTTCAACAGTTACTTAGCTGCCGGGGACCGTCTTGCCGAAGATTTTCCCATTCAAATCCATTAGGTATGACTAATGAGAATTATGTTATTACGTTTTAAATTAATTGTGAATTATTTCAAACAATAATTTATTTTGTATGTTGTTCAGGTACGAGCAGCGAAGAGAACTTAAGCAGAAGATTTGAGGACGATCACAGATTTCGCGATAGAGGAGATGTTATCGGATATAAAGAAAGGCAAGTGAACAAAATTCATGATAGATTCTGATAATACAGCATCAAGCAAGCATTAAATTTAAAACAACCTGATAAATAGCTGAAGGAAATATGATTTTGTCCTCGGGCATGCCAAAATTTTAACGATTCAAAGAATTTATAGTAATTGTCTATTTGTAAATGCTTTGAATGTTACTAATAGACCTAAGACAAAGTGAGCTGTCACACTGGCGGATTGCAAGCGGTTTCAAAGCGGAAACGCGTCGCGTATTCTCAACGTCTCCGCCTCGAGCTTTCGCCAGACTGTCCGCCGCGGACACGCGGCGTCGCCGCTCCGCTTTGAATACGTTTGTAATCCGCCAGTGTGGCAAGGCCCTAAGACTGAGATGAGTTTCTGTTCTATTAATAGAAGAAATAGTCAGGAAAATACTAATGAAGCGTTTTATCCAAAAATACTATTTCAATGGATATTTTTATTAACAGGGCATGGCGATGGAGTGGATACGGTCGCCGCTACGCCAGAGAGAGGCTTCACAGACGTCGTCACGCTTTAGCGTTCTAGTCTACCCCATAGTATAAATATTGTAAATTCTCAAACAAAGCAGAACTTGCTTGAACCTTTGAAGGCAGAGGGAATAAAGAAAGAATCATATTTTTTACTTTATTACCTTGCCTTAAGGTCCAAAGACATTGAACAACTTGAAATAAAATATGCCTAAAGGGTGGCACCCAAGGTGGCAAGTTCAAAAATATTTGGTTGTATCAAAAAATTTTAGTTTTTATATCTTTGAAACAGAGACATTGACACAACAAATACCTAGTATAACTGAATTTATGAGAATATCGATAAAATAGCACTGAAGCTAAATATAATTATAACTAAGATAATAATTTAAAAGCATCGAATATTGTAGGGCTTCCTATGTATTTCATCTTTCTGCTTTATGGAATAGTTTAAAACTAGTGGGACTTAAAAATAGCTTTGTGTAGGTGGGTACAATCTTTCTGTGCCTATTTTATAGAGAAAAATAAAGAAAAATCTTACTTGTGTAAAAGAAAGGTCACTGCCGAAACTGTGCTTATATTCTACGGGGTAAAGACTATCCTTTTTTGTAAAAATGTTATTCTGTTGGTACAATCTGTTATTATGCTTTTTCGGCCTAATTACTACATGCATTAATTTTATATTCACCTTTTTATACTTGAACCCATTTCAAACCCTTGTATTTTCTGTATTTCATTTTGTTTTATAGTGCCCTGCTATTTCTATATTGTTTCATATTTCAAAAAACAATTATTGTAGGGCTATTTAACTTTAAACTAGCATTTACTACACTTTCTAGCTTTAAATAATTTATTCTTAACTATGTAATTGGAAGAAGTATGTCCTAAGTACAAGCATCATTTTTTATTTGTCTACACATACTTACTTTTGTTATAAAATGCCTTGAATTTCTAATTAGCTGTGTTCATAATAGTGATGCTTTTAAAAAAACAGTATTAGTTATTATGAATTCCATATTTTGATGATTTAAGAGTTTAACTAAGAAGGGCAAAGAGTTAATGTAAAAGAGTAGGTATCACTTTTTAAAAGGATACGATTTGTCTATTATTTAAGGTAAATGAATATTATTTACTGCCTATTATGAATAAGAGTAATCATGGTACCTATCCATTTATATCGCTTATTTCTTGACCAGACTGATGAAGAAATCAGCATGTTTGTAGTTGGCTATTTATCTCGTAGAAATTATTATAAAAGTGATATAAAATGTTGCCATTGTGATGATTGTGTGTACTGGTTGTAATAATAATATTATTTAAAAACTCTTGTTTTATTTCTCCAAAAATACAAAACTTTTAATGATGATTTTAATTTAAATTGTAAGATATTCATCAAGATCATTATCGTCACATAATGAGAATAACGTTTTTGGATCGTTTTGAGTATTTACAGGAGTCTCTACGTCATTTTCTTCATGATCACTATCTTCGGCAAACTTTGCCCATTTAGAGTTTTTATTAATTGCTGGTGGTTTATATTTAATTTTCATCACATTATTTGTTTGGCTAAGAGGTTGTTCTGTCTTGAAAGTACTTTTGTCTGATTCATTATCAAGTTCATTCCATTTAGTATTAAACGGAGTTTCAATTTTTGTCGGAGAGTTATTATTTTTTATTGGTGGTGTAAAGGTTCTTTTCATAACATTACTTTCCTGCATTCTAGAGAAACTTGGACATGGTTCATGTTTTGGTAGTTCGGTGAGCATGTCATTCTCATTTGATTCTACAAGGTCACTAGTGTTAGAACATGTTCTATTATTTTCATTTTTAATACTCCTTTTACCTAATATTTTTCGGCGTTTTTTGGGCATTTCTAAAACCACTTCTGTATGGTTAAGATACATTTTATCATCATTATTTGGTACTTCTAAGTTTTCAGCAGTATTCTCCACAAAATCTGACCATTTACTTTGTTTATTTTGAACTGAGGCAGTAATTTTTGGTGCTATTGTTGTATTATTTTCGTTCTCGCTCTCTTCATCCCCAGTGCTTATACTTTGTGAACTTTTACATTCATCAAGTTCACCCCTAATGCCATTCAATTTCTGTACATGTTTCCTACATTCTAGACCATTTCCAAGTCCGTAATGTCTTTTTATAGATTGTTTTTCACCACACATTTTGCACGCGAATTTATTAGATTTTTTCGTTTGATGCACCTGGAATCCATCCAAAATAGATTTTATCTTGATTCATAAATAATTGAGATTGGATTTTTTGAATTGTGATTATTGAAAATTAAATTATAATCAAAGTAATACATACTTGAAATACCAAGCACTTGTAACATCGTAGCACTTGAAATATTTGCGGCATCTTTATAACCTATCGACAAGAAGTTAATTAATGTAAAAGTATAACAATTATTATTAAAACAGCTCGTAAATAAATACATTTATTTTGATGTGCATGCGTGTGTTAAAAGGTCTAAACTTTATTGTTATTCGTAATCGTATTGTTAATCGCTGTAAGCTGCAATGAAAAACATAGAACTTACCTGCGATTTGTGTTACTTTTACAGTGTAGTTAAATCAGTCAGGCATTTAAGTAAATAACTAGCAAAAAAAATTACATAATATATTGAACACAAAAATAATTAAAAACTTTGAAAAACACCTGCAAAAGTGAACAAACACAAAGTAAACAAACACATGCACCTCAAACGGCTCGAACTTCAACTGTCAATGTCAAATTTGGCTCACGTTCAGAAACTACAGAATTTTACAATTCAAAATAATTTTACTTTTCACTTTTGATTCATTTAGATAACGTTTCAATCAAAGAAGTTGACTCATGCATATTTATTTTTCTTCAAATAATATTAATTACAATACATTTTTATTAATTAAACATTTACTGTTTAATTTTTTTTTTAATTCGCACTTCAGATTTTTTGGCGGGATGTTGCAGTTGGCGGGAAAGTAAAGCTTCATGTTAGACCATTTGATAGTATTTTGTTTGTATTGGAGATTGGAGCAAATCCTACTATTATAAATGCTAAAATTTGGATGTCTGGATGTTTGTTACTCTTTCACGCAAAAACTACTGAACGGATTTTGATGAAACTTTACAGTATTATTGTTTATTTAAAATTTAATGTGATGTAGCCTAATTTTCGACGCATATACTACTACCACAGAATAATAATAAGTGCCTACTACTGTAATAAATAGTCCAAATATCATGTTAATTTTTATTTCTGAGCCACATTCATCACAGTTTCCGTATAATATTTTAATTCACAAGTTTGACACATAATAATTTATTACAGTACAGTCTGATATACACTTATTTAATTATTTACACATTTTAAAATGTATTAATTAAAATCGTACGAAATATTACTTTTTAATAAAAATAAGATTTTATTGCAAAAATATATCTACAAAAATGTTATAATACCTACATAATAGAATATCAACAAACAGTTATCTATAATGCACGTTTAAAATAACTTAAAAAATAAATTACTTACAAAAGTAGGTACTATCGGGGACTCTTCCGCCTGACCACTTTGTAGAAATTTTAGCGTAAGCGCATCGCTCCGGTCACGTGCTCACCGCGTCTCTAATTGGTTACGCATTTTACTATATTTTTACTACGACCAATAAGAGACAATCAGGGCTTAGGTTGCAATACGAAATACCATTGTGCACTTTATTGTCATACGGTTAAGGTTTAAAACGAAATGTTTCTTTTTCTTCAATCTTTCTTAGTTTTAGGCTGAGTTGCACCACCTAACTTTGACCGTAACTATAACGGTAACCGGTCCTTTTTGTATGGAGTTTGACAGAATTTTGACGTTTGTTAAAGTTAAAGTAAGATGGTGCAACTCAGCCTTAGAATTTTAATAATAGAATTTGGTTACAAACAAATAGATATGTATTTTTTTTAATATTGTGTTTTTATACGAGGTCTGTCTGCTTTTTGCTTTGGCGATCTGTCGACATATTCTCTCCTTTGTTTTTTTGTGAAGTTTCGTGATCAATAACCGATTGATTTGTGTTGACCCGTGCTAGTAATTGGACTGTTTGATTGCCTTTTTATTGACCTCCGCTCGATTACTGAACCATGCCTCTCAAAATAATTCTTATATTTACTTACAAACTTATCTATTCATTGTTAACTGTTTAAGTATTATTTAGTTTGAAGTTTAATTGTTATTGATTTAAGACCTTGTGTAAAGACACTTAATGTGCAATAAAAAATTGAATTTGAAATAAAACTAACTGAATATTATAATATTTACGATAACCAATTACCTGGATGTGAGATGTTCCGTTTTAAAGATAAGTGTTTCTTTAAAACGGAAAACAAAATATGCATTAAAAATAAATAGAAACCTATCAGGTATAAGTTTTTATTTACATTCAAGGATTTAAGAAAGTTATAGCCAGATCTTACAATGATTGTTTTAAGCCACAAATATTCCTTAACACTTTACTAATTAATTCAATAACATATTGTTTAAATAAGTTCCGAATAAATTAAATACCTATTAAATAAGTAAAATTCGAAAGCAACTGTATGATTTTGTATTTCTCGCCCTAACTAGCTAAACTAATATCATGAGATTTACACTCATAATATCAACAATAATTGTAGAAAGGGCTACTTTTTTCTCGGGAAATTGCATAGTTACCTCGGAATGTGCGATAGCAATTTTGTGACCCGAGCGGGCAATCGCTAGTTCAAATTTTACACGAAGCCTCATATAATATTTTGTAGCGATTCTTTATTGGGTTTCAAATTGACTAAAATGCGACGTTGCCAAACGAGCGCTACGGATGCGGGTAATAAGCAATACTCAATCCTAATTGCTTTACATAGAGCTTGGTTTGCTAGGGCAAACATCTACAGTGGTGCGCCGACGCTGCTTAGACCCGAAATATGAATGAACGGGGGCGGAGCATAATCGAGCGTGTGTGTGCAAACAATTTAGGCCCTTAAGGTGTCAAGGCGTTCGAGTCCCCGATAGTACCTATAAAATGCGTTTGAATGGTTGCGTTTCGTGAGTTACGTACTCAGAAACTTATAGAAGGTTAAATAGTAATTTAGGTACTGGTAGATTTTAAACAGCCAACAAATAACCTTTTCTTTGCTAATTTATCTATCCAGTCTCACTTCTCATTCTTATAACTAATTTTTGGAATTTTTAAGGACAGATTTTGATTTATCTATTGACTTATCGAACTTAGTATCTCATACTTAAATAGGCATTGGAAAAAAAAAACTTAAATCATATTAAAATTTAATTTTAATCAAAGTAGACCAACGGAATCAAAGACCTGGCTTCAACCAATCGCATAGAAACCCGCCATAACTTTTTAAAAGTGACACAATATGGCGGCGGGTGGAAACAATTCATTTTAATTCGAGTTGTAGTGCAGAGCAGACGTACGCGTGCAGTGAAAATGAGAAATTGAAACGTTTTTACGAAGGGTAAGTGTAACTGGTTAGTTTATATTGATATTGTTTTAAAAAACTTTACGATAAGGCGATAAAATAGGTATTGACTTAGGAAAGAAACTTGTTTCAAAGTGTAAAATTATATTTAAAAAAAAAAACAGAAACGTTTTATGCTTAGGTTTTGTTGTACCTAATTCTTAATTTGGATTTCGAAGACCATCTTGTTAAAAAACTGTGCTTACCTAAAATAAGGTTTACAATGGTTTCCATCTTACCAACGAAGGTTAAATCATGATTAAGTGATTATTTTTACATGACAGTATTTATGTAAGTAATGTGATTGCTTATCTAAGTAGGTACATTTAATCAGACATTTAGAACTGCCTCGACAAAAAGTCTAACATTCAGCTAAATATCTGTAAAATACCTGGATGGAGTGAAGACATTAATATTGGCTCATTAATAAAGAATGAGGTGTACATACATTTATTATGAAAATATTATAAGTTAAAGACATTTAAAATGTTGATATTAGTAAATTATTTAAATATCCACATCAATTAGTAACACTAGACATTGTTGCAGTTAATTAAATAGTGTAGTTAGGTAGGATAGACAAGTATTATCTCTGATTATTTTAACATCTTCGAGTAAACTAGATTTAGAAGTGACCAAACAAAAGTTATCCCTTAGGTAGCAGGTACATACAATATTTACAGACCTGGACAAGTTTGGCATCTTAATTTCAATAGTGATTGGCACGATTTATTTACATACAATTGGCACGAAAATGAGCACATTACTGAGACCATAGAAATAGGCCATATCTTAAACATAGATAATGCTATTTCCGATTTGCGTTATTCATCAAACGATCAGACTTATTAGGAACTTTTAAATTATTTCTTCGGGGTTAGGTTGTTTAGGTGAAGAAACTGTTAGTAGTAACACCAACCATGTAACATGTAATGTAAATAAGTATAATAACATAATCATTCTTGGACATTTCACACGGCGCCACCGGACTCGGCCCTAACACAAGCTTTGCTTAGTTTTATTGTGCGGTAAAAGAATTGGCGACCTCTGACGTATTATGAATCTATTCGGTGAGTAATCTGTGGTAAAAGTCCTGAAAGAAAACTTGGCTTTAAAAACTTGGATGATTAACGCAAATCTTTTTGGCATAAAGGAACTTTCATTACCACCGCGGATCCTCTTCAAGTGTTCATGACCGTGGTCCTTCTAGTGTAGCCCTTGCGAGCGCCGCCTCCGGTGCCCTGCGCCTCGCATTCCCTCCGCACTCGGTCTATGATGTCGGCTACGAGCTTCTCCTCCCGCGACCGTTTTGCCTCCCAGTCTGATCTGTTCGTTTGCTCCGGGATTATTGGTTCAGCTGAAAAAAGAAAATAAACTTAAATTTATAATGAAAACTAGCGGCCGCCCGCTTCGTACGCGTGGATCCCGTTTTGCCCTAGGGGTGGAGTTTCATAAAATCCTTTCTTAGCGGATGCCTAAGTCATACCTGCCTGCTTGCCAAATTTCAGCCCGATCCGTCCAGTGGTTTGGGCTGTGCGTTGATAGATCACTATGTCAGTCAGTCAGTCACCTTTGAGTTATGCAGGGTGTTAGGTAAATGGGTATATGATTAACATGGGGTAGTGTCATGCATATTATGCATATGTTACGGCTAAAGATGGGTGTGAACATAAACTTAAGATTAGCCGGCTAAACGTAAGTTTATCTTCGACGAGGTGTTAATGTTAGTTTCTTCTATCTTTAGCCGGCTAAACTTAAGTGTAACCGCAGGCCCTTGGCTAAAAATGTAGAAGGAAATGGAAAAGGAAACAATGTAATATTGTTTACTATTTTGACACGAAAACTTTATTAAAAAATAATCACTTTCATTACACATACTTTTATGTACCTATGTAAAACAAAGGATAAAGTTGATGTTTTTATAAACGTGGGTCCCAAAACACAAACTTTTGGAGTACGGACATGCCTAGGGAATGACGTTTTGGGTCATTCAAAAGGAATTTAAGATGTTTTAAAAATAGTTTCAAAAAATATAAATGGGGGATGAATAAAGCACATTGCGAGCTGTTATTTAACAATTTTGGAATAAAATATTAACAAATATTTCATGTGAAATGTGGCGCGGACTAAGAGTTGACATATTTTTGTGGAATGACCCATATAAGTACATTTTCTGACTGCACCCTGTACTTACAAGACTTGTACAAATGTTACAATAATCGTTACTTTTTTTTTACTCATTACTTTTTTTGGGGAAAACATCGTGAATTTTGCCACTTAAAAGATCGTTTACTGAACTCATGATGGTCACGTACGGTGTGGCTGCATCCTTAACATAATGACCATAATAATATTATCTTTAGTATTTGGCTTTTTTGCAAAATAAGTGCCTAATTTACCTACCTGCAAAGTTGAAATTTACTAACGTAATATTTCTCTAATAACATTTCAAGTACCACATCGCTAAAAAAACCTCATTAGTAAATCTAATTAAAAAAATAAGTAGTTACTTATTAAATGCATTACCTGTTCTATGCCCCCGTAACGAGCGTCGTAGTTCTCCCCCTCTAGCTGTGTTCGGCTTCACTACAGGCACTGCACTAGGCTGGTAAGTCGGAACGCTGGTCTTCGGAATAGCCATCTCAGGGTCAGGCTCGTCTCTTACATCCTCCGGGGCTTGCTGGCTCGCATTTGTCTTGTTTATATTCGTATCAGTCATATTGTGTTCCTTTGACAGGGCTTCGGCTTGGGAGTTGGTGAGGACAGGACTGGAGTCTGACAGTATTTCGCTGTGGCGACTGGCTAAGTGACCGATGTATCCTGAAAGATACAAAAGCGAGGTTGCTTAACCAAAATTATAGTTAAAAAAAGTATGGTGTACTTATTACTGTATTAAATACTTGGTTCATTTTGAACGTCCAGTGTCCATGCGCCTATTCTTAAAATAGCTACGAATTTTATTAAATTGAGAAAATCGAAAATTGCCAAAGGTGGGATTCGAATCCACAATTATTGTTAGCGCTAAAATTTTTTTTTTTAAATCATGCGAAACCCATTGAATAGCTACCTTATCAGCCCCATCAGGCCTCTTTTACGTTCGTCAAACTTATCTTAGTCAAAATTATCTACAGGCGTTAAATTTCTAAAATGTTGCTTTGTGATAGAGAATGATGCACTAAGTATTAAGTTATAGGGGAAATATTGGTCTATTAGACCGGCTACTAAATTGTACCAACTTATTTCGTATCATATTAACACAGTGATACACAAAAACAATATGACTGGTCTTATAAATCAATGTTATTATTATAATGTATCGCTGAGTGTCGCCGATGCAGCAAAATAATATTCTACGAAATATTAAGGTGGTCCAATTCAGGAGCCGGTCCAATACCCGACTTTCCTCTAAGCATAAAAAATAATTTACCTTTCCGACTCTTGAAGAAAACCAGGCACTGTTCGCATTGGAACAACGGAGACGGGTTGAGTGGATGGACAACATGGAGTTTGTACTTATGTCGGTACCAGTGCGTCCTGCTCTGCAGAATCTCCCCACACAGCTTGCAGACCACACTGCCATCGTCCCTCATCACATACTCCAGCAAATCATGCCTGGCTTTAGGAGGTTCCTTTTCTTGATCCTTGTTTTCATTCTCTTCTTTCGTATTCGCTTCATCAGGCTTTTCAGTGAGGAAATGCACGCCGGCTGTACTATCCTGAACACAGGTATCCACAGGCGGTTGTGTGGCAATAGTACTAGGTTGATTTAAATTGTTGTCGGTGGATAGTGGAGGATCAGGTTCAGGATTGGAAGCGTCAGAAAGCACTTCCAACGTTATAACTGGTATGCCACCTTCTCCCTCCTCGTATATGTAGTGGAAGTCTGAAAGTTCAATATGGATGACGAAATGAAAAGCAGTTTATGTAAGTCTAAACAGATCTTGAATGACGCGTGACGTTTGAATTTAACCACCAACCTACATTTTTACGTAGCAGTAACCGTAGCTGCTCGTAGCTACGGTCGTAGCAAAAGAAGTTCAATTTTGTTATAATAATATTCATATTATTTTTAACTTAATTGATTATTTAATCAGTCTACCTTTAGGTACTTATTAAAAATTATTCCTAGATTGTTGAACCATTAACCTACATTCTCTAAATACATAGTAATATGTATTTATACATAAGTATGTTGTCTTTTTATCCGATTTCATTAGAAGCAAGAATCACTGTATAAGTCTTCGTGTTCGTGTTTATGCATGACACAATGTGGTGTGGTTGTAGGTACTTAACGTTGAAGTATCATTAATAACTTAGAATAAATACCTACTAGTATGTACTACCTAATAGACAATTACAAAACATTTCTTTTGCTGCATGATCTCTTGCGACGACCACTAGGGTATGGGTTAAATAAAATACAGTTTTATTTTTATGTTTTATTTGGATTATTACTTGTAGTGTACATTTTTCACATTCATTCAATACGACGATGGTAAGATCTTTTTGCTTTATAATAAAAACTTAATCAAATTTTAGTTGTATCTAATAAAAATATTTCTTGTCTCGTTCACATCATTTAAATGTTAAAGCTTTGATGTTTTCAACGATAGTTTAATATGCCTTAATATATTAACTCAGTTAAACTGTGGTAGTACTTTTGTTAATATTGTTACAAGACTATCAAATACCTAAAGGTCTTATTAACCTACTTTATACCATTACAACATTATAGGAAAGTCGCAACAATTCATTTATATGGCATTTGATATATTTACGATATATTTTACTGAATAAGCCGACGATCCTTATTTTTAATCTGAAAAAAATAAACACAGTATAATAGGTAATTAATTTGAAAGTGAAGTACCTACTTAGACAATGATACCTTGGTATCTTAGAATGTTATTTTTTTTAATTTAAAAGTAAATTCGAGTGGTGACAGAAATAAAATAATATGTTACTCGTATAAATGTTAATGTGAATTACTTTACATTTTCATCTATGTAATATTTAGTATCAGTATACTATCAATTCAATAGAATATAGAAAAAAATCAACACTTGCGTAAAAAATTGCACTTTAAAATGAAATAAAGTTATTAAGAGCTATAATACCTCTAGCGATTGTTGCATACTAAATTTTGACTGTAATAAAAAAATTAATAACTGCACAAGTACCTTAAGTAGGTATATGAAATGAAGTATCTGGGGGCACGGCAGTGCCCCCGCCAATTGTGATTACTGCAAATACTAAATAAAGAAAAGTCTTCAAAAAGGTGCAATGATGTAACGTGAATAAAAAATAAAATTATATGAATCTATCTAGTTAAACGTACAGTTTAAGATTTTAAAATTTCCCGTTCCATTTCAACTAAAATAGAAAGACACGACATAAACGTCGCGTTAAGACCCGTGTCTTTCTATTTTAGTTAAATGCACAGTTATTATATAATTTTGTGCACTTTTTTCGCATTTAAAAGAATAATCTAAATATTTATTTGCATACTCCCTTAGTTTTTACCAAACATATCGTTACTTATAAAATGAACACTCAAAAATTTGCACGTGTATTATATTAATGACCTTTGAAACTTAAAAAATATTATGTACGTTTAAATTGCAAGTAGGAATTAGGCTTAGGCATAAACAAAAAGTAAAAAGAACACTTCTCACAAAATCTAACCATGCACCCTTCTTTTAATACTTTCATAGTGCAGATTTTAATATACGAACAAGTTTTTATTCCAAAATGCTGCCTTGCAGCTAGAGTGTTTAGAAAAAGAAAAGTAAGAATTATAATAACTCAACAATGAATATGATAGCCAACTTAGTTAGCACTAATATCACAAAATAAAATACTACAAAAGAAGAAAAAAACATAGAAATAACATTTCACCACTCTGGAGACCGTACGGGTAGATCTTCAAGGATACCGCATGGATGCAGAGCGGTGACTCAGAATAATCAATTTAAAAAACAAAAAAAATCTAAGTTCGCGAGAAGTTTGAACTTGCTTCATTATACTTTGTGCGATCGACTGGCTCTGACGTAACTACTTAAATAAAAAATCACACTGTAATTGTTAATACCTTCTTGGTGACTAATTAAATCTAAACTGATTCAAATGATACACCATAAAATTATACATTTATATATCTACAAGAATGTGATCTATGAAAATCTAATTAAACTTAACGTTAACTATTGTGCGCTAAATTTTAAAATACAAAAACTCAATTTAACCAGTAATCTTTAAGTAGATACAATAGTAGATATAACTATAAACTATATTTAATGCTTCAATACTAAATATAAATTGCTCTTATATAATTATATACTCTTCCCAAACATGAACTTAATTAAAGGTTGATTAGTAATAATATTTTCAAACATAAACTTATATTAGTTATGTTTAACACTAACAATTATTATTCCCTTATCAATGGAAGAACTGCTGATTTCGTTTTCGGTCCTAGATTCATCTAGAACTCGTTTATATATCAACTAATTATATCCTAAATGAAATAATAAGAGTTGGAGACAGTTTATCATACATCATATTATACTCGTTATATTGTGCTATGGCACTATTTAATTTATGTTAACATATTTACTGACGTTATCAAAACTATACAACTTAATATTTTTGTTAACAATAGATACCTATCTGAAAAATAGGTACAAATCATAATAGGCTCACTATAACTTACCTTTATGCGTTTAAAAATGTATGAAAGGAAGGTAAAAAAATTTGTTTTCCCAGTGTTTTCAGGGAGATAACTAACCATTAAAAATATTAATATATCTCTGAGAAATTAATATAGTAGTGCTATATCATCTGAATTCTAAGATTGAGAAGACAGTTAAATGTAATACAGTCTTTGGTTGTTGTCTTGCGGTAAACTGATAACTAAGAAGATTAAACTCTAATAAAAAGATCTGTTCCAAATAATTTATGTAAATTCTCTATAATATAGGCTAATAGAATTGCAAGCGGAAGGCACTTCTCAGACTTTAACAGCACCCTATAAATCTAAAAATTCTATAGTGTTTAAAATTTAACACGCTGAAATTATTGCGTAACTGGCCTCAACATATTGTATATTTATTGTCTATTATTTGCACAACCATACTTTAAACAGTATAAACATAATGAGCTCTAAACATGTAACAAACGTTAGATATTAAATGCATAACAGTATCATTGGAAATATTTTTAATACGTACAGTATAAAAGTGTACCTACATGAAAATTTATCTCCAAAAATAGAACAATACTACTATGAAATCCGAATCTTTATATAGAATTCTATATTATAACTAACATACAAGGAAACTTTAGGCGTTTGAAAAGGCACTATTATTAAGAGTTCTTCTGGAATTAATAATACTTAGTACCGATTTTGTCACATAAGAGTCAGTCAAACTTGCGTGGGGTCAGGCGAGGAGTGCGTGGGAGTGGACCCGTAGGACCCCGCTCCGATGGCGGGATGGTGGGATGACTCCTCTATCTTCAGCGCTGAGGGGATTTGAGCCTCCATCCCCGGTAACATAAAAAACGCGTTCGGCGTGTACACACAATCTTTGGGCACGTAACAATCGTGTGTCGTCTTCATGTGATTCTTCATTTTGTCCGGCCTAGAAAACTCTTTGCAGCACACGGGACACGGAAACACTTTCCTCTGCTGCCCCTCGTGGTAGAGGAACGCATGCCTCTGGAATGAATATTTATTTTTGAAGGTTTTCTGAATATTTTCTTTCGCGCACTCAGTGCACTGATACACGCCTTCGTTCACAGACGCGTATCTGAAGAGGTTGAGCCCCCTGACAGACATTTCGGTGAGTTGCTCGGCAGGATCGTTCGATGCTGAATTAGCCCTTCTTCTTATTCTCCTCCGTATTGATGGCCTTTGCATCTGGTTCCCACCTGCTTGTAACGTGTTATTATTTAGAGAATCGTTTTGATATTCGTTAGAAGTAGAAGCCTGTGTTGCTGGGTTGATCCGGATTTTTCCCTCGTGAGATGGAGATTGTTCGTATTTTATATCTTTGTTTTCGTCATCAGGTGTGCCACGTCCTGTAAAAAGTATTCAGTAAAATTAAGATGGTTGCAGTTTAATACATTAAGCTAGCTACTGACAACTAGCAAAATAAAAAGTGTACGAATGGGATATAAATGAGTTATAAAGAAACAAACGACGAAAATATATTAACCTTTATTTGTTCAAATCAAATGATAATGGATGAAAAAATACATCAAAACAAAAAAAAGACCTACCACACGGACAATGTCTCGCGTTCTCTCAGGATTGTTCCTAATATCAACACCTAATAGTATGATAGTAAATAAATAATAGCACCGTATAAACGCACTGCGTTTTTCTTTTAGAGAATAAAACCATTGTGTCCGTGTAGTAAGTTTATAAATAAACAGTTTAAACTAAAACAAAAAAGTACTAATACAAGTAAGTATTGGCAATTTGACAAAAATAAAACTAAACATAAACAAATAACTAATGAAATGATGCAAAGTGATCGTTTTTGTATTGATGAGATTTGAACAAGTAACTGTAGCAAAGTTAAACTGCTTAATGAAACTATGTAACCTAATCATAATTTATTAATTAAATAATAAATTAAAAAATATAATAACAAAAAAGAACAGATTTCACTATGACATAATAGGACTCAAGTGTTTGCATTTGGAACTATTTCGGCAAGTTCAGTAGTAGGTACATAATTACAAAAATAACACTTCAGTTAACTTAGCTCATAAGATCACAAAAGGTGGGTTTAATAGTAATTGAAAGATTCGTATAGAACTGCAACATTTTGTTGCATAACTGAAAATTATATTTAAAAGAAGGTTGATATATTAGCTGCCTTCAGTATTTGAAAATAGGAAACAAAACGTTCAGATTTAACTGAACAGATGGATATTATATTGATAGCCTCGTAAAATTATCATTTGGATACTTAATATTGCATTAGTGTTTAATTTAAAAAATAAAAATACAAAAGCAAACAATTTGTACTGGACCAAAATACTTGTTCATCGCATAGCATCAATTTGAGCAACATAGAAAGCATAATAATTATTATTGTATCTAGCTCTAACCACACCGACTACTAAACGGAGAGTAGTACCATAGGATAACATACCTGATCAGTCCTCTCGTCGTGACTAATAAACATTCTATTGTTTAAAAAATTCACTCGATTGTTAACAACACTATTTATGTCTATTAAATTATAAATAACTTATCCATTAAACTATTCTTTACTAATAACCCGTGTTGTTACTTTGCTACGATTATACATTAAATTAATTTTATAAGAATTGTTTCAAACTTCAGCTTTTCCCGTCGTTGCTATGAATATCACGAGTAACAATAAGAAGTTATCTAAAAACACGAATTTATAATTATGAATAATTTTAACAGTAAAACTGAGAAATCTGGAAAACAATTTCAAAGTTAATTCTTATTTTCTTCTAAGAATATTATTATATTCAATTTGAAGAGTGGTAGAATAGAAAAAACATTCATCAAGTAGATACTTAACAAACAATACAATATCAAAGTCACAAACATAAAGAGAAATTAAACAAGGGTATTAAAGTAACGTAACAAAACAAAAAAATATGTATAATAATTGAAATAATTAATGTTTTGCTGTAACTTTTATTATTTTCTTTAAAGATTCTAAAAATAGTAATTAACACCTTATTGTATACCAATGTATCTTTCATTAACAAATAGGTAATTCTATTATCGTGTAACTGTCAATTCTAAATATATCTAAATATTACTCTTTGCATTTGCTATTGTCTAAGTGCAAATAACAAAAAAATATGTTTTACTTAACATTTGGCTAGAGACTATTCCATATCGTAATTTGTGTGAAGTTACTCAATAATTATATCATTTAAACGTATCTATTTGCAAGTTCCAAAAAAATCTATGAGAGCATTGTTAATTTTCAATGAATCCCTGAACATATTATTAATGCTTTTCCAGTAGAATATTAATTACTTTTATTTATATAGGTATATATTTTTTGCTTGTAAGTCTTGTCGAACAAAACAACAATAATAATTACATACGTACTTATTAAACTGTAAGTAGTTGTTCAGACATACCCCCCACATTATCAAAACATGCTGTTATTATGCATCGATCGTCAAACATTATTGTAAATCGACAATATAATAATATTTTGGTTGTTACAATCGGAAAACTTGGTCAATTTTAATTTATATTGATACCTAATTACTGGTCAAGTGTTAAAATGGTATATTTAGAACCAAAAACACTAAAATAATTATGTTCAGAAATTCGTTGAATTCTTTCAAGTGAATTTGTACCTAAACCATTAATTATCAGTATGAGTAATTCCTTATTTGGTTATAAATAAATAATTTAAAACTATCTCTTTAGAATCTGTCGTGTATAGATTGTACACTATTTTTAATTATAACATTCTGTCTAAATATATTTGCGTTATTATTTGTTGAAAGTAAGTTATTATAATTATTATTTAATACAAAACAATAATTTTGGAAACGCGTCTACAAAGGTATGTTTGTCAATATTTTCAACAAGATTTTACATATTTATGACTGGATAATAATGTAACCGATTCTTATAGGAAGTCCCATTATTTGTTATGATCTATAAATGTAACATAATATTATGGATGATAAAACTAAATGTATTCATAAATATATATGTAATAATCAATTATTTAACATAACAATGTCAACAAACAATATATTATGTATATTAAAAAGGGACAATCCATCTCAGTCACATCAAATGTGACGTTTTCTTAAGTATAATTTAGCACCAATAGATGATATAACACTCAATAAATAATATTTCATTGATATAATATATTAAATATGTCAATATGAAATTAATATACAATTCATATATTATTTTAAATAATTTAGTGATAATGATAATTTCGAGGAGGTTAAGTAGAGATAAACAATAGGTGATAATTTTGAATGAGTTAGCTTAGGCACTGGCTAAATTGACTATAATGAATAATAGATTCCTGAAACTTCCCATATTAGCCTCACAATAATTAAGTCTAAATATCCCTTTTAAGTACCTATCAATCGCCAAGGTAAATTTCATATAAAGGTTATGAAAGGTAGGTACAATAAATTCGTTTATTTATGAATTTACACAGTCTTAATATTGATTTATCAAGACCTAATTGCCTCGAAAGTCATAGGTTTTTATTTAATTCTTTTCATAATAAAACATTTAAATTTTGTCAATTTCCAAATAAAATGGGAAACATGAGATGATGTTTTTATCATTTACAAAATATTTATTAACTACTTGGGCCTAAAGGTCTCTAAACTTCTAAGGAAGCTTCTTACAGTACCTAGATGTAAACTCTGAATAATGAAAATAAATAATACATAACATTCTTTGACATTTCTTATGTTTCTAATAGTATTTAATAAATATATAACTTATGATTATACAAGTAAAGGCACACTAATAGGCAAGCGTTCCCTGGACCTACGTTTCAATATGTATATTGGAAAGATTTGGTGTCAGGGTTAACAACGTAATGTATTGAAATATTAAGTACTACTATCATTAGTTTCATACTTCATATTACGCGTTTCACATTATTCTGTTCATTTTATATATTCATCTAATAAACGTTTGGGAGAATCGTGTCACTATTTATATATGGAAGACTACTTTTGCCTCTAATTTTAACTACATAATTTATAAGTACTGTTCCTTATTTAATAATTAAGGCATTTTTTGATTTCTACTAAAATAGAATATACAAATCATCTCATGATTCCAGATATTTATAATCATCTTTCAAAGCACCTTGCTAAGATCACTTTTACAACAACACATTGTTGTATTCACTTTATATTATTTAAATTTATGAAATTATCAACATTTATAACAGTGTGTTTTAAATCCCAACTAATATTATAAATGCGAAAGTAACTCTGTCTGTCTGTCTGTCTGTCTGTCTGTCTGTCTGTCTGTCTGTCTGTTACGCTTTCCCGCTTAAACCTCGCAACCGATTTTGATGAAATTTGGCATAGAGATAGTTTGAGTCCCGGGAAAGAACATAGGATAGTTTTTATCCCGGTTTTTGAAACAGGGACGCGCGCGATAAAGTTTTTCTGTGACAGACAAAATTCCACGCGGGCGAAGCCGCGGGCGGAAAGCTAGTAATTTACATAATAATTATATAGGTTGTGTATAATTCTGCTAATAACCCGAAATAGAAGTGGTATGTGAATTTTTATTTTATGAAAATGCTAACTGTTATTTCAGAGTTTGAAACTTATTAAAGTACTTACTACAGTTATGTGTTTCAATATAACTCTGTAAAATCCTATGTAATATTGTCTTTGACAGATACTCCTTTAATATTTTCTAAAAACGCGTAAATCATTCCATAAAACAAAAGAAATATTTATCTAAATCTTAATCAATAATGACAGCTATTGAATTACAAATTAACTGTCACGATGAGTTGGGGCTCTGTTAAAAAGTACAGGAACTGAACATTTATTAAGTCTATATTCTACTTTTTCGCTGTTTAGTGAGATTTTAAGAGCTATAAATAATGTTATTTTTTACTATAATATGAGTCACACGCTGTAATGAAAGAGTACCGCAAATGAGAACGGGGCTCAGAGATATAACTTCAACGCCCATAGTAACTTCATAGCAGTTCTTTCTACATGCTTCAACAAACTGAGGTATTTCATGTAAATATTATGTTGTTTTACGATACTCATCAGTCATACGTGTATATCGTATATATATACATATTTGAATACCATAACATTTACAACCAAATATTTCAACATTGATAAAATATTTTAAATTAATCTTAACAATTCTAGAAAATATATTCATAGCCTGTGTTGAGTTTTACTTCGAAGAAGTTATTCATCATTTACAACTAAGATCACTAATAAGGCAAGTTAAATGAAAAATGCATTTTACACCACTACACAACGGTCATTTGATTTAAAATCTTTTTGTAGAGCTTTGTTTAGCCTCTTTAGCGTATATTTTATCACAAGTTCGCATACTGAAACCAGTTGCACTTCAAAAAACTCGTGATATACAAAAAGATTTTGCCATTGTTTATTCTCGATTATAACTACTAACTTATTACTAACTAATTCAGTTCAATGAGAATTGTATGTAAGTAATTTAAATATTCAGCACATAAAAGTAGTTAAATTGACTACTTTGATTTAATAAATCACCATGAGTAGTTACTTTGTACCCTGAAAAATTTGTAAGTAATAAAATTAAGTAACAAGTAAGTGCAAAATAACAAGTAAATCATAGAAAATGTCAAATCTCTTTTAAGGTCAGCACTCTAAGAAACAAATGGAACAAACATATAAATAGATAAATATAACAACAAACGTTTTCACTTAATATCAACAACTTATTGATATAATTTACTCATGAAACTTAGAGCTCGAATGCTTACTCAATCGCAAATCTACAATTTACCCACTATTTAGAATTTAATAAGTTATACGTAGATCAAACGAACCTACTTTTAATAATATAATAATCAGATCTAAAAATCATCCGTCATTAATAATAATAATGAGTATATTGCCTCGGATCGATTAGGACTCCTGTTTAGCCAATTGTTCGTTGGCGTTTGGTTGGTTTTTGTGTATAATTTTTAGATGTGCAATCATGTTGTCCTTTCGAGTGAATTCTTTGCAGCAGATGGGGCAAGGAAACACTTTGACGTCCTTCTTGTGAGAAGTGACGTAGTGCCGGCAGAAGTTGCTGATGTGCGTGTACACTCTCGCACAAATCTTACATCTGAAAACATTCTCTCCTTCCTTGATACAGTAATCCCTAACGGATTCGTTAGTATCCTCGTGATAGTTGCCTACGTTGCCAATATTATTTTTCCTAATCGGCGATGGAAATATGCGATGTTCCCAGTTAGTTTGCGCTAGATCAGCAACTTCGTTGTTAGCCAAGTTTAAGTTATTTTGCTCCAGTTCAGCAGCGAACAGTTGAGTGGCAAGAGCTGGCATGAGAACAGTTTCTGGTGGGTATTTGTCAAAGTTGTTAAGTGTGGGGTTTAAATTGGAGAGACCAGAGAGCTGATTGAATAAGTTTCGGGCTCTAATTTTTGACATTTGGGGTAGTATTTTTTTATTATTCTTTGGCTTCAAGTTACGACCTAGTCTGTTTTTATCGTCTGCATCTTTAATAGGGCCATCTTGAGAGTTAGAATTTTCGCGGCTCCGATCTGGGTTGTATTTGTATTCGATAGGTTCATTGTACCCGTCGGTAATGTCGGCTGCAGGTTCCTGCTTAATGGATCCGTTTTCGATAGACAAAACCGGTCCGTTAGTTGGATACTTTTGATGCGTTTCCTCTTTGGGTGGTTTATCGGGATCTGAAATGTCAAATTTCAGGTCTCAGTTTACGTATTATGTTTTATTATTTATTTAATATTTATTGTTATATTTGGAAATATTTTAGCATTATGTTGCCGAGTTTATTTTTTAATAATGCAGACATTTGGGTTACGTATAGTTACTAAAATATTTCCAATTGCTTTTATGAAGGAAAGCTATTGGGAATAAGCCTTGTTTGTTTCCCTTTTTCTCATTTTATATAAAATATGTTTGTAAGGAAGCTTCAGTAGATAGAAATTATAAACTCAAACCATAAAGGACCACACCGAGTTCGCCCCTGGCCATTCCTCTAATAGCTCTCCCCGAAAGCAGAAAAGCAAGCAATAGTTATTGTCGATTTATAGAAGAAATAAGCATCTGTTACTCGAATATGTCAAAAATAATTTGATAGATTATCACTTACCCCTTTTGAATAAACTTTAAATATTATAAATAAAGTACGTAATACGTATTCAATATACACTTCACTTATTCACTTATATCGAAAATCCTAACATCAAAGCTTATATCCCATTAGCTTTTCCCTTATTTCTTTTCTTAATCAAATTAACTTTTTCAAAACCGTGTTAGATAATTGGAAAGGAAGATTAATTATATATTTACAAAAGTTAAGCAAGTATGAAATCTCCGCAAACATCCTCATCCGTTTTATTTTACAAAATCCAAAATTACAATCACTTTGTGCATTTGATCTAATATCAAATATTTAAAATTATTTAAATGTAGAAGTTTGTTTTATCAGAAACTAGTCGCTAAGGTTTTAACCGAAACTACGAAGTTAAATAGGTTTAATTTCGTACCTGCAGATTCGGAGTCCTTGCCGGTATGGGCTTCGGTTGATTGGGCGTCATCGCCCTCATCAATCAACAAAGCCTCGCCTGCATCCTCGCCGCCTGATGTTGCGCCATCCTCAGTGTTGTTGAAGCCATCCATGGACATCTTTACTTCTAACATCTCCGGTGAACCACGAATGAGTTGATCTCCAGGCCTATTGGTAGTAGCGTGTGCTGCGGACTCCGGTATAAATTCGCCAGGTGGACTAGCTGCTGTGTTTAAAGCATCGCTGGAGCTCCCACTTAGTTTTCTTGGTCGACCTCTTTTCCTTTTCGGTTGCATTAAGGCGTTGCCCAATAAAGGCATTAATAAATTCGGGGGTGCTCCACCAGTAGGCATCCCAGATGCCGGCCGCTTTTGGTGCATGTACGGATGTATCCTATGAAGCTGGGGCGGGGGCGTGTGAGCGGTCGTGTTCGTTTGCTGATGTTGTATCAAAGAGTTCGTGAGGGCTGGAATATCACATTTCTCCTCATTCACTTCGGTAAGGCCTTTTATCCTCAGACTTTCAGCGACTTTCAGGAAAGCCGTCAACCGTTCCTGGTCAACGCTCACCTCTCCTCGGTACATGAAGTCTAATAAACTCTTCATGTCTGAATAGGGTACATCCTTTAGTATAACAATAGGATGTTTCTCTTGATGATTGACAAACAAGGCTTGGAAGTAAGGACTGCAAGCCGATAAAACCATTTTATGTGCTTTTAGCAACTGGCCGTCCACAGCTAGTGTTACATCGGTGAACGTTTCTGCGTGTAGCAGTTGGTCAAACACGGACAGCATATTCGATTGGTGGTTGTTCCACCTCAAGCAAAATCGTTGCGTCGCCATTTTTGCGTTTTATATTTGCTTCTTTGGAAGATATGATCTTTACCAGTCAGGGCTTAAAATCTAATATACCAACAATATCTCAATGTATACATAAGTATTCTCTCTGTTCCACGAACAATACAACAAAACTAACAATATATAATGTTTACTTTTTGAAAGCCATTTTCATGTTTCATAGTGTTAGTGCATTTTGTGTGCCGGGCGCGGGGGAACCTGAAAACAAATAAAATGCAACACTTAAACTAAGAGAATATTTTAAATATATACCTATTACCTAAACACAAGTACTAAAGCTCTGTTTTGAATGATAACGCATCAAAAAGGGCAATAAAATGACAAATTACTTTATTTCTATACAATCTACATATTTCAGTAAAACAGAAAGTAGCAGATAGATGTGATTTCTCTACTTTCATGTCAGTCACTATGTGATTACAACATTAAGCGATATAACGTCTGGCTGTGATTCTGTCACGCTATTATCCTCTGAGAGAATTCACGCGATATTCTCCGTTAACGAACTAAAATGAAATCGCCGTTTTAATTTCATACATAAAATGTCAGTACATTATTTTTAGACATATTATTAACAACTTAATACCTACTAATGTAAAATTGGCATAAAAACAAGATACTCGTATAAATAATTAAGCTTCATTATTTCCTACGGTATTGACTAACAATGACACATCATAATAATATTTGAAAATTATTGTTCGAAACTATTATTAACCACGTTAGTAGTTTATGTTAATGCCCGTGGTACAAATACCATGACAAATAAATACATATAATATAGTAAAATTATACCAATAAAACTCGTCTATACATATATGTATAAAAAATCTCGTATATCTATATATATAAAAGAAAGTCGTGTTAGTTACTCCACTTATAACTCAAGAACGGCTGAACCGATTTAGCTGAAAATTGTCAGGGAGGTAGTTTAGAGCCAGGAGAAGGACATAGGATACTTTTTATCCCGTTTGAAATAAAAAAAAGTCTGCTTATTTATTGCCATTAAGGCGGAACAAAGTTCGCCGGGTCAGCTAGTTAAATATAAAATTACAGTGCGTTTTATAAGGTGTCAGAGTGCTATGTCAATAACTACATTCGTATATTGGTAAAGTCTGTATAAATCCTTTATCACCATGAAAAATGATTTGAATAAAACCTTGAGACCAATAAAAATGGTTTGCATCGGTGTTTATTTTATTAGTCTTGAATCTCATAATGATAGTAGGTTTTATTAAAACCTTACTCTTACTAGTCCAATCTACATAGTTTAGTCATATTATTTTTAAACTGGAAGGCCTATGCTATCATTATAATTAATAAAAGTTACATCGTGTGTAAGTACTTAAATTAACAACGCAACAAACTATACGAATTCAAAGTTATTATCAACAATTTACGGTAAATAGCTAATTAATAACCTCATAACCTCATATTTTATAATTTGATTTTGCCACACTATTTTATGTCCTGTAACATAACGATGAGCTTTTCGTTGTTGCCCGTAGAGGGCGCTAGACGTATCGTTAACTCAACCACTGAGTACGGCCATGTGATTAAATAAAATTCGATAGGCAGCTATAGTTAAAGTATTTGACTATTTAATATGTTAAAATATGTTCTGTATTCCTAAATAAACAATTTGAATAAAACTTTAAAGTTGTTTTAACATCAGTGCCGATAAATGGTAATTAATTGTTATTCATGAATATTTTAAGATGAATTGCGTTAAAAATATTTATATATCTTGATTATATTCGCAAACATGTTACAAAGTGATCATTTCAATTTTATAATACAACAACAACATTGTTGTAAACTTACAAGTTCTTATTGTTAGTTTATGTTGTGGGGTGAGATTCATTTATTGTTGCGTTTCAATTGCATTGTTAGAAAAACAGACTGCACATAAAGCGTAGATGATATTTTTAATGAGACAGGTCTAGCATTAATGGAAATATTTTTAAAACACTGAACCTCCTCTGGAATGTTTATTACAACTCATCATTATCATTAGAGTTCGACAAAATTAATGTTAATGTCATGGCATTTGAGATTTAATTCTATTTAAGTCTAAAAAGTTTCCATTAGTTTTCAGTCTATCCAATGCCTAATTTAATCAAGGTTAAAAAAAATCGAGGGCGCCTCTAGCGGCGGGAGGCAAATCTGTGCAGCGGCGAGCGCACTGCAGTTGTAGGATAACATCCATGTAGGCATGTAACACGGCCGCCTATACCTACCTACACGTATTATCTTCACTTGACATTGGACAAGCCATTTCAAAATAAATAATTTTTTCCTTGACGACAATAATTCCACGTAAGAAATCTCAACGCAAATCCAATTCCAATCGGATTCCAATTGGAATTGTCCGCAATATTTTTTCATGGAAACACGATTATTCTCCTCACATCCACAGGTACTGACTGCTGACCACTAACGTTATCGCGGTATAAACGGGCGCTCAAATTATTACTACGCACCCAGCCGAGCGCGTTACATTACGTCATCACAATGGCATTATTACCGACGATATCCACATTAATTCGGCCGATACGTCGAGATAAGCACCGTTTCAATACAATTATATCACTGCACTAACATAATAGAACATACCACACGTATCTGCACCACAATCAACTCGACCCTTTTATGGGAGTGAGGATCAGCCCTTCCGCCATAGTCCGAGTCCGCGTTTACGTCGCACCCCGCTCACCCGACGACTGACGGCCGCCAGCCCGCAACCCCGCGCGGCGAACGCCGACTCGCTCCGCGACTCGAATATCTCTCACAAAAAAATACGCCGTCATCATCGAAATGGCGGCAGCGGATATATTCAGCGCAGGGTGCACAAAATATTGATTTATTGAAATTCATTGATTTGCTGTCTCCACGGGAATATCGCCCCTACCGTTCGCGCTGAAATTCAAACCGACTTTTCGGGGTGCGATATGATTTTTCATTTATGAATAATTACGATTACTCCTGTTTCATGTTTGGCAATTGATGTCGTCGTAGCTGCTACGCCTACAATAGCTTAACTTTTGTTTTAATCTATCGCTGTATGATAGGGGTGAGACCGGTAGGTGATAAAGACAACGTGACGAACACAGCAATTTACATCTATTTTAATCGGCCAATCAGTTTTGCGTGATATCTCACAGCCAGATATCCTAGTCATTCATGATAGAGCAGTGTATTATTTGAATTATCTCAACTTGAGTGGTAGTTACAAAGTAGAACTTAGTTGAATAACTATTCTCAATGATCAGCTAATTATTTTGATTGTTATAATCTGCCGGCGCATGGGTAAATGGGAACAATCTGGAAAGTTTCGAGAGCGTCATTATCGACCTACCTTGACATGAATGTGTTGGAGGGATGAGTTTTCCACGTGAAAATCATCAATCCATTCGTGTTGTCGCCATGTCAGCAGCGTGCTCCGTCTCTGTTGCTCGCGGGCGGGGTTGGTAGGACGCCCTCCTCGCGGCGAGCGCGGCCGGAGATGCCCGAGCGCCGCCACTTTTCGCAACCGATTCCACCCGAGTCCGCACGGAAAATAGAACGCGGGGCGCACTCGTGTTTTTTCGATTTAGAAAAAATATCACTGCTCTTTCAAACACTCAAAAATTTTGTCAACAACTTCCGAAAGTTTTTAAAACTCCAACCAAATTATTGTCCACTTCCTCAATTATTATATCCGTCCCAAAATAAAGTTCGAAGGATTTCAGGATGTTAATAAAAAATCCGCGCGCGATGTGTTACTCGGAAGTGTTTTTAATAAAAATGGCCTGCTGCCTCGGCGGGAGGAGTGGCAATGGGCAATGAGGTCGGTACCCTCTCTCTGGCACCCGCGCGTGCCCCTCCCTGCCGCTCCGCTCCGGCACAGGGTTAGAAAGTTTCAAAAGTGAATCGTGGAAAACGAGCAGCGGTAACGTCCCGGGTGTTAAGATGCGTGACGGAGTCGGGAGACTCCTGCGCGCCTTACTCATCCCTCCCCTTTGGTGGGAAACTTTGAAATATTTAAGTCATCAGGGTCCGATTCCGGCAAAACCCAAAACAAAAGGGTTAGCTCCATAATGTTCTCGTAACTGCGTGATTCACTCGGTCACTCACGGATTTAGATATTTGCAGGAGCAGCCAAGGTCAAGTTAATATCAAGAGCAGTCAGTGAGATAACCTCTGCCTTATAAAAATTTAATCTTCGCTCACTTTCGGTATTTAGCCCCATCCTTCAATTCATCTTACTGACAATGATAAATTAATGCAACTGTAGGTACTTATTTCAGGCAAAACTGGTAGATTTTGGAAACTGGTTTGAATCTCAAAAACTTGAAGAAGCTCATAAAAATAATTCCTTCTCCTTCAATTTCTTAAGAATGCAACCACCATTAGGTAATTAGCGGAATATTTTAAATTAATAAAACAATCAATTACTACAACTTATAACGAGTCGTTTGCTAATGAAATGCGGTCACAAATGATTATGTTAACACGTAATTATAACATAATTAATTTTAGACATAACAATTTTTGCACAATAATTTGTACGCACAACTTTACGCAAGAATGATTAATTTTCGGAAATTAGTTTCGACTTCGGAAAGGTCCATGATTTTTTACAAATATTGAAATAAATTATGGGAATCTTTCAATGAAAATTAATTAATCGTATCAATACGCTCAAAAATTAGAGCTTTTAAATATGAAACTTCGTTACTAAGAAAAAGCTTAATTAGGTATGTAAAAAAATATGGCTTACAGTTTCAATGTTTACAAAATATGTACCTACCTACAATGAAACTAACTATTTTTTATTAGACCCATATGAAAACAAAATTCCTGTTATGTGTTATCTTATGGGTCACTTAAAAATTAGGGATTGATGGTGAAAACGGGCTTTAGATACGTCTAGCTTCACCTACTAGTTATTAGTAATTTTGAGACGCAGAAAAAAGATATTCTGCCCTTTCTTTCATTACTTTATGATAAGAGTGCACTTAAAACGTAAACAGTCTGTGATAGCAAAAATGCATTAAAACGCTTACGTAAGGTATAATAATGTAGATTTGATTTCTTTTATTCATTAATTAGTTTGATGAGTCAGATGTGGTATTGCAACGTATTAAATATGGTAGATATGGCAGATCTAATTACATTACATATTGGCTTGATTTGTTATAAAAAGGTTTGTAGGTACAAAAAGCGTAGATAATAATTTAAGAAACTTAACGATTTTAAAACATAATATTAGGGCACTTACTCTTTATTCATTAAAATATTAAAAAAATAATGTTAAGCTTTGCAATCGACTTTTTACAAGGAACGTCCCGTTTTCAATAGAGGTATTTAGAAAAACGAAATTCCGTAATATTAGTACAAATAAGTTTTAAAAGTTACCGTTGACTAGAAATAAATATAATATTTTAATGCCTCAATCAATATTTTTATCTACTAGCGGCCGCCCACGACTTCGTAGGTACGCGTGGACCCCGTATTTGCAAAATCCCGTCTTAGTGAGCACCTACGTTCTAAAAGGATCCCATCCAAAATTTGAGACTCCTAGCACTTGTATTTTCTGAGATTTCGTGATGAGTGTGTCAATCAGTGACCTTTCGCTTTTATAGATATAGATAGATATTATATTCTCATTTTGTTACAATGTTCGAGTCACCTTTAGCCCTTATTTTATATCCTCTCATACGTAACATGTTTGCAACAAAAAGTAGCTAGTTAGATAGCTAAATTTCCAGTCGCAAAAAGATTCAAATGAATGTACTTACGTAGTCGAATGTATAAGGTATGGCCCTTATGGGTCGACACAAACAAACTTGTGTGGAGGTAATCTTTTGGCGAATGTCCTATATTTGCCTAACCCAAATGATAAGCTCTGGAACCGTTATCAGGGCACTCCCACCCTGGCCAGATGAGCCCCGCAACAGACCTGTCGCGTATCCATCAACATTCAACACCCATATCACTTTTATCTCAATTTGTCCTGTTTTGACGAACTATTTTATCATGCCACTAAAATTATAATTACTTTGTTGTTACTTCTTTCCTTAATAAACTTGTTTTCGCAGTGATATCTCGAAATCCTCTTATTTCTGGAATATTACTGTTTGCTGCGACCTTGTTTCAAGTCTGGACATATTTACCTGTGCCCTAGATTGTCCATGTCTCGCGTTATTGTGCCTGAATCGCTACTCCTGTATTTATGTAGACAGTGACTGAGAAACCGGACAAAATTATAATGTATCATTCAGACACTTACCATGATAAGGTTTCTGAATAAAAAATGAATTTTTCATGACTCCTACAGGACGACCTCCCATATTTTATCGATATTAAACAATATTAGTCTCCATCTCTTATCATGGTGATCAATGAGTGCTAAATTCAGATGCATCGAAATGCTTAATTGGCGATGTAAAATCTACATTTGAATATGACCATTTTCTTATATTTGAGAAGATGCTAAACCACTGTTTAGCTAACTCCATTAAACTTTTTCATTTAACAATACCGAAAGCGTGCGATTGTTAAGACACCTAATGAAATGCAGCAATCAATCATATCGATTGAACCCTACACGGATGGAGGTATCCGCTCGTAGACGCTAGACTGCAATCTGTAATTCATATAATAACACGCTTGGAGAATCATCATCCTGTAGTATTGTAGTGAACAAGTATGTAGTATATGTATATGTAGGCATTCGGGTCAAATTGTCGTCGTGTCGGTTTTCCCTAGGTATATTGTGCATTGCATAATAAGACGATTTGCTCCTTCGAGATAACAAACGTTTGCATTTTCGTCATGAAATACGATTTTGATTCTAAATCTTTTCAACCGTTCATCATTGGTAGTCCAGTCATTTAAGCTTAAATTAGGTAAGAATCTCGGAATTAGAGATACCCAGCTGTAAGTCTGTAAATACTTGTATATTGACACCCTAAAAGTTGTCTCAAAACCTACATATGGTAGGGTGTAAGCAACTATTAAATTTTAAGGTCAAAGGTCACAAAAATCGGTTTTTTGCGCTTTTTTTGGAAATATCTCATTTCCTATGTGTTTTTTGTTATTTGTATTTATTATCAATATTGTAGAATATTAAATTCTCTACCAATTTTGTTTAAAAAATTGTTTTATACGGTGAACCGTTTTCGAGATAGAGGGCGGAGAGCGCGCGGTCACTGCATCACTTCAGGTCAACTTAAGCGGTTCGAAAACGGTTCACCGTATAAAAAAAGTTTTTAAACAAAATTTGTAGAGAATTTAGTATTCTACAATATTGATAATAAATACAAATAGCAAAAAACCCACAGGAAATGAGATATTTCTAAAAAAAGCGCAAAAAACCGATTTTTGTGACCGTTGACCTTGAAATTTAATAGTTGCTTACACCCTACCATATGTAGGTTTTGAGACAACTTTTAGGGTGTCAATATACACGTATTTACAGACTTACAGCTGGGTATCTCGAATTCCGAGGTGAACTTACTATAATGACTGGACTATGGCAACGATTGTCTAGAAAAACTTTACTTTGATTATAAAGTCAGATTTATTGACAACAGCTTTATAAAGTCAAATACGTTAATCGTTAAACGTATCTCAATCCACGACCTATCCTGTGCTGCACTTAACCAATCGAGGTCACGTTGGATATTTAGCACCTGGATATCGATTGGCCGGGGGCGGCCATAATTCTGCTGACCTGACCTCTGATGACCTAGCACTGTTAGCTGAAGTCCTTAC